GGGCGGGTTGTAACAGGCGGGCGCCAGCTGGTGCTGCCGCCGCCGCTCACCGGTAGAAGTCGTAGGAGAAGAGGGCGGAGACGGCGATGAGCTCGGCGGAGCCGGTGGAGGTGACAGCCATGAACAGCATGATTGTTAGCCTGTTCGATTTTAAGGGGCAGGGGAAGAGAAGAGTGAGTTGCAAGTCGGGGCAGCGGCGGCGGCAGATGGCGGCGAGCGGCGGCGGGTGGAAAGCGCGGCGCAGCCCATGAAACCCTCCCTGACCCAACCTAGACGCCCTGTTTCGGCTGGGGTGCGCCCAGTCCGACCCCCCAGGCCCCAAGGAAGGCACCCCCAGGCCCCATGAGGCCAGCCGCAGGCCTGCAGCGGCGGGAGAGGCAGCAGCGCCCTCTGGCGCTGCGCCTGCACCCGGGGACACCCTGGGGTTGGTTCGGGGTGAGCAGGGAGGGCATCAGCAGCTCGACTCACCAGACCGCGCCGCCCTTGCCCAGGATGTAGACGGCGGTGGCGGGGGGCACCAGGCCGGCCCCGGCCTCGGCCTTGGTGATGGGCAGGTCCATGGCGACAGAGGCAAGGCCCAGGGAGGTGGCGAGGGTGAAGGGGATGGAGAACCACATGAGGCCGCCCAGGATGTAGCCCTTGTAGGAGGAGGAGGGCTTGGAGGCGATGGCGCCCATCCAGTAGGCCTGGTCCACAAACACGGTGCCTGTGGGGGCGGAACGTGGGGGGGGGCAGTTTTGTTTGCACCAGCCACGTGCACGGCAGCCAGCCCAAGCCCCCCCGCCCCCGCCCGCACCCACCGAAGTTGCCGATGATGTTGATGATGCCAAAGATGAAGCCGCCCTCGGAAAACATGGTGACGTAGGAGCCGCCCTTGTTGTCGGCCACGGGGCCCTTGAACGCGCCGCCCAGCGTGGCGATGTCGGTCAGGTGCTCCCACACGGTGGCGGGGGAGCCCAGGCCGGTTTTGGGCATGGCGTAGATCTCAAAGGCAAACAGGCAGAGGGCGATGAAGACGACGACGGTGTGGAGGTAGGTGGACATGAACGTGGCCTTGAGGCCGCCGTGGGCGGTGTACATGATGACGCCCACCGGGATCAGCATTGAGGCGGCATACAGGTTCATGCCTGCAGCGCCGGGAAGCGGTGGGGGTGCAGGGGATCAGTGTGGGGGCCCGGGGGGAGGCTGGGAGGGCGGCGGTCATGGCTGGCTGCGGGGCCAGGCAGGTGCGGGGCCAGGCAGGTGCTCACCCGTCAGCGCCCCCATCACGGACGCGCCACCGAGGATGAGCATGGAGCACACGATAATGTTTGTGATGATTGCAAAGACTGCACCGACAAAAGCAGGCGCATGTGTGTCAGCAGGGTGTAGGGAACAAAACAGATGCGCACAAGGTGCGCTTTCCGGCCCGTCCCCGCCGCCCGCTCACCGAAGAAGACCTTGTGAGCGGTGTTGCCCCAGCGGGCACGCACAATCTCCAGCATGGTGTGGGCGTTTGGGGCCTTGCGCTTGATCTCTACGGCCAGGATGCCGAACAACAAGATCTGGATGGTGGCGCCCGAGGCGTACCAGAAGGGGCCTGACACGCCGTACTGCCAGGCCACGTTGGAGCTGCGGGTGGGGCAGGTGGCGGGGCAGGGGAACAGGCGGCAGGGTGAGCGGCGGGACGGCAGGAAAGGGAGAGGCAGGGGTGGCGCGGGACGCTAGAGAGCGCCCTGCGCAGCCCATCTGCCTCCGCCACCTCGCTGCCCCCGCTTCCCCAGCCGCCTGCTGGCGTTACCCGCAGTAGCTGCCCTGCTGCCCCCGGGCGCAGTCGCACCTCTGCAGCAGGGTGGCAGCCCATGTCCACTCCGACACGATGACGTTGGCAATCAGGCCAGTCTTGACGGTGCGCCCAGCGGTGTTGAACTGCTCTGAGGTCTTCTTGGTGCCGCCGTAGCGGTAGTCCAGCCACACCAGGAAGGAGGTGATGACGGAGAAGAAGACGCCAAAGCCAATCACAATGCCGTAGCCGTACTGCGGCAGCGGGAAGTGGCAGGCGGGAGCAGAATGGGGGGTTGCACATGAGAGGGGCGGCAATGGGTGGCAGGGCCGGGTGAGCGGCGCCTGGCATCCCGTCGCACAGGCAGGCGGCTGGTGCATTGGGGAGTGCGGGAGCCAGGCGCAGGCTGTGGCAGGCAGGGGGCCGCAGGAGTTGCGGCGGTGCTGGTCAGCGGCGGCAAAGCAGCGGCGGCCACACTCACCCCCTGGGCGAGGGGCGGCGTGCCTCCGAAGAAGCCATCGGTGTTGCAGTTGTACTGCAGCCATTGGAGGAGCATTTGGTGGTGTTCTTGAGCACAGGAGAGGAGGGGGGGGCAGCCCAACACGTGTCAACGAAGAGGTTTACCACACTGCCACGTGTCAACGAATCGGGAGGCCCGTACCCCCGGGGGGGCCGTACTCCTGGCCACCGCCAGCCACAAGTGCAAGGAGCGATGCCCTCCCGCGCAAGTGGCCAGGAGGGGCACAGAGGGCCGTAGGCGGACGCCAAGCCAGCAACGCACAATTGCCCTAGCCCCGAAGTGCACCAACACTCCTTGCCCGTTCCCACACCAGGCCCGCACCACCCCACAAACAACATGCTCACCTCAGAAAGGCCGAAGGCATTGCACTGGCCCTGCAGCACATCCAATCAGGGTTCACCATCTGCGGTTGTGCGCTCCCGGCCTCCCCGGGGCCTGCAAGCCGCTGATTTGCATGTCTTACCGGGCACTCAGTGCACCACTCCGTTCCCACATACATATCACTCTGAGGGTCGCTCATGGTGCAGCTGTCCACACACCGGCTGCTCTAGATGACAGGCTGTTTGGCCTGGTTTCTGAGGCCTGGAACCGGGCTCAGAATGATATGGGGATGAAAGGAGGCCTCCAGCGGTTTTCCCATTCGATCGTCCACGTGGTCTGATTGCTGCTGGGCCCACCCCCTTAGGGACACCCCCTTAGGGACAGAATGGCCCCCTTAGGGACAGAATGGCCAGCAGGGGCACAATTTAATTTCGGCATGACGCCATGAGGCACCAGGTGCCAGGGAGCTCTGACTGGTCGCATTGCTGTCTTGTTGCGCCACAATCCTCCCGCGCCACACTTTCCCGCCTCGCAGCCCCCGCCGGCGCCGCTGCGGCGCACCGGTGCGGAAGGCCAATCGCGCTGCCCCTGCCGCGCTGCACATGCCAGAACTCTCTTGCAAATGCATAGCATTGCAAGCATGCTGGCAGTGCAGGCAATGGGAACAGTTCACGACGGCGATGCCCCGCCAGCTGGCCAGCGTGCAATCGCGGAATCGGCATTGGGGGACGCCACGGCCGCAACCTGCGCATCCCTGTCGGCGCCAGCGGCAGCGTGCCGTTTCCTGCCGCAGCATACAACACTCTTTAATAGGATGCGAGGAAGGCTCAGTGTGTTGAGGAGGCGCTGTTCCAGGCTGTTCATGGCACATCTGCATTGGAAGGGCGGTGGTGGCGAGGGACGGGGCGCCAGGTGGCGGCGGGGCGCAAGTTGGCGGCGCCTCCCCAACATCGCTCCCAGCCCGGCGCAGCCCTATCTTCGGCATGCAAGCGCAGCCAAGACAAGCCCGAGATGCCGCACCGTTGATGGAAGGCGCGACCGGCTAAACGACTGATGCACAGAGGTGGCATCGAGACCCTCGAGAGGCCAGCCTGGCAAACTGGGGCCCGACGACGAACACTGCATAGCCCGGGTTTGCGCTCCACCGACTTGATCGCGGCCAGAAGGCATTCGGGCAACCGCCGGCTGTGTGTTGCAGGCACTGGGTCCGCTTCGCTCCCCCACTCCAGGTGAAAGCCCTAGCCGCTGTCACCCTATCGCCATTGCCGATTACTAATTGAATAATAGCAACAATCAGCGTGAATGGAGATGGCGGGCTGTAGTGTAGCGCCCACAGCCGCGAAAGTATGGCCCTGGTGCCAGCAACTGCAGATTAGCTGTGCTGCTTTCTCGGCAGGCCAGAACGAATTGAGCAGCCAATGCATCTGATGGGCAGCCCGGGTTGGGCCGAAGCAATCCGCAGGCCCCTCGCCCCCCAGGGGTACACACCCTAGCCGCCCCGTCGCCAGCTGCCGCCGCGAGTTGGAGCCCTGCTGCCCGCTCATCAGCACGATGCCGCTCATCAGCACGATGCCGCCTGGCGGTGCTCGCAGGTCGCCACCGAACTCTCAGGCAGCACGTACGGCGCCCCGTGCTGTGCATCGCCCCGCAGGCAGCCGCCGCAGCCCAGACACCGGCGCCGCGCCTTGCGCAGCCGCCGCCAGCATCGCCGGCAGCTCACACCCCGCTCACCGCCCAGGCATCCGCGGCGCAGCAGGCAGCGGCAGCCATGACCCAGGGGCTCGTCACCAAGCTGCTGGTGGCCAACCGCGGCGAAATCAGCTGCCGCGCGCAGCGGGCATGCAAGAAGCTGGGCATGCCGTGCGTGGCCGTGTTTACTGACCCGGATGCCCTGTCCCTGCACGTGCTACAAGCCGCGGAGAGCGTGTCCCTGGGGGCCTCCCCCAAGGAGTACCTGAACGCCACCAAGCTGATTGAGGTGGCCAAGAGCACAGGTGGGCAGGCAGGCAGGCGCACACGTGCGGCACATCTGCATGCACGCACGCGCCCAGCAGCAGGCTGCCTTCGGGCATAGCTTGCAGTGCGCATGTCCCCGCAGCTGCGAGGACACACGGCCCAAGGGCTGGTTGTCTGCTGCTTGCGTTTGTGCATGGAGGGCCGGCTGCACGTAGCCGTGGGCCGTGCGCCATGCCGTGCCGACCCGCCTGTCTGGCCGTCCGCCTGCCCCCCCATCCCTCAGGCTGCGACGCCGTCTTCCCTGGCTACGGCTTCCTGTCTGAAAACACCGAGTTTGCGGCCATGTGCGAGGACAACGGTATCGCCTTCATCGGACCCACCGCAGGTGCGGCGCCAGCCACGCGGGGCGGCTGGCATGCGGGCAGCAGGGGAAGGCCACCACCTGGCGCCCAAGGGCCCTTTTGCACACCGCTGCTGCAGACACGATGCGCATGTTTGCGCAGAAGCACACCGCCCGCGAGCTGGCGGAGCGAGCCGAGGTGCCGATCCTGGCGGGCAGCCCGCTGCTGTCCAGCGGCGAGGAGGCGCTGGAGTATGCCAAGAAAGTGGGCCTCCCTGTGCTGCTCAAGGCCACAGGTGGGAAGGCCGCTGGCGGCCCGCTGCTTCCTGCAGGGCATTCCGCATCCCCTGCCAGCTGGCAGGCTGCGCTGGCTCTGCCGAAAGGATGGGCAACAGTGCTGGCATGCCTGCTGCACGCTGGAGCAGCGCCGCGGGCGCCGCTGCCCTGTCCCTGCGGGGCAGCGGGCAGGTGGGCCAGCCTGCTCTCTGCGGCGCCTGGGCGCATACGCCTACCTTGCCTGCCTGCCCGCTGCCCGCAGGCGGCGGCGGCGGCATCGGCATCCACATCTGCCGCAGCGAGGACGAGGTGGTGAACAACTACGCCTCGGCCTCGCGCCAGGGCGCGGCCGCCTTTGGCGACGCGGGCGTGTTTGTGGAGAAGTACGTGCAGCGGGCGCGGCACATCGAGGTCCAAATCTTTGGGGACGGCAAGGGCGCCATCGTGGCGTTCCCCGAGCGCGAGTGCTCCATCCAGGTGGGAGCTGGGGGGTTTGTTGGGCGAGGTGGGGTGTATTGCCTGTGGGTGGCGGCATATGGAAGGTGGAGGTGGAGTTTCGGCGGGCATGTCAGCGCATGGAGGGGCAGCAGGGGTGGTGTGGGCACTGGCTGCTCGCGCTTCACCCGAAAGGCATCCAATTTCGGGTGGAGCCGCAGCTGCCCTCACGCTGATGGCCGCCGGCCCCGCTTGCCCTGTGCGTTTGTGTGTGTGTGCAGCGACGTCACCAGAAGGTTCTCGAAGAGACGCCCTCCCCCTTTGTCACTCCAGAGCTGCGGGCCGCGCTGCAGGGCGCCGCCGTGCGCCTGGGCCAGCTGGCCAAGTACCGGTGGGCGGGCGGCAGGAGTGGGAGGGTGGTGGGAGCAGGCCGGGCGCTGGGAGTGGCTGGGCTGGGCCGGCTGCTCGAGCCAGGTGTCGCTTGGAGCAGCACCGAGCGGCGGCAGTTGTTTTCGCTCAGCCATGCATTCTGCGCTACCCCCATTCTCTTCCTCCGGCAGGTCTGCCGGCACCGTGGAGTTCATTGTGGATGATGAGACAGGAGAGTTTTACTTCCTGGAGGTCAACACGCGCCTGCAGGTAGCAAGGGGCCTGGGGAGGGGGAGAGAGTGGCAGCGGGTGGAGTAGCGGCAGCGGGTGGAGTAGCGGCAGCAGGTGGAGGGGCCGCGGGAGGTGGAGGGGCCGCCTGAGGTCGAGGACGATGGCAGGGGAAGGCTGCGCCTGGCTTGCCGGCCGCATGGCGCGCGGTTGGCCATGCCTGATGGTGCTGTACTGCCTGTACCGCCCGCCAGGTGGAGCACGGCATCACCGAGATGATTACGGGCGTGGACCTGGTGGCCTGGCAGCTGGAGCAACAGGTGGGGGCTGGGCTGGGCGGCGGCGGTGCCAGACGGGGCCGCGCGCTTGCTTGCGTGCCTGGCGTGTGTACCCTGCTGCGCTCCCCATGCGCTTCCGCTGCACCTCCGCTCTTGAACAGCTGCTGCTACTGCCTGCCCGCGTGCGCTGCCTGCCCCTGCAGGGCGCCAAGGGCACCGACCTCCCCGCTGACCTGGCATCCTTCACGCCCCAGATCAACGGCGCCGCCATCGAGGTGTGCAGCACCCCGCCTGCAGCCAGCCCCCGCCTCCAGTACACCTCACAGCCTGGCACCTCGGGGCCGCATGTTCAGCTGTGCTGCCTGTGCGCCGCCTCTCATACCAGGGGCTGCTATCCTGTCCTCCTGCTGCCTTTAATGCCCGTACTGCCTGCGCCGCCTGCACCGTCACAGGTGCGCATCTGCGCGGAGGATCCCGCCCACAACTACCGCCCCTGCACCGGCATGCTGGGCCTGGTGGCCTGGCCCACCAGCGTGGCGACCCGCATCGACACTTGGGTGGAGACGGGCGTGGAGGTGTCGGGTGCGGCGCGCCGCTGTCAGCAGCCCCAAGCTCGGCCCGCGCTGCTGCCCCTGGCGCCTGTGCCCGCCTGCCCCTCCCTGCGCATGGCCCTTACACCAGGGTTTGCAAATGCTGCGCTGGCTTGGGGAGGTCCTTGCCTGACCGCATCCTCTGTGCTTCCTGCTTCCACGGCTCTCCCTCCCCCTGCAGCCTACTACGATTCCCTGCTGGCAAAGCTGATGGTGCACAGCCCCGAGGGCCGCCCCCCCGCCATCACCAAAATTTGCGCGGCGCTGGAGGAGACGCAAGTGGGGGGGGGCCGGGAGCTGCCGGGAACAAGAAGGTTGACTGGGGGTGGCCCTCCTCTCCGCGCCTCCATCGATGCGATCCGCCTCGCATGGGCCTTCTGCGGCCCGCCGCTCCGCCGCTGTCCACCCTGTCTCTTCCCCGCCCTGCCTCTCACACACCACACACTCCACACCACCACCCACCGGGTGCAGCTCAAGGGAGTGACCACCAACCTGGAGTTCCTGCGCGTCATCGCTGCCTCCCCCGCCTACGCCGCCGGCGACACCACCACCAAGTTTGTGGAGGGGATCGACTACTCGCCGCACGCGGGTGAGGGCTGGTGTGTGTGTGTGTGTGTGTGTGTGTGTGAGTGAGATAGTGGCATGTAAGGGTTGCGGGGGTGGTGGTGGTGGTTCGCCGGCGTGTGTGTGTGTGGTGGCGTGGATGTCCACGGGTGTGGAAGTAACTCTCTTGAACAAGCATGGGCAGCATGCACACAGGTGCTCATCCACACAGGTGCTCATCCATGCGTGCCCTCCCCCGTTGCCGCCGCAGTGGAGTTTCTGGAGGCGGGGCTGCAGACCACGGTGCAGGACTACCCCGGCCGTGTGGCGCTGTGGTCGGTGGGGGTGCCGCCCTCGGGTCCCATGGATGACCTGTCGCACCGGTAAGCTGGAGATAGTGTTTCTGTGATGGGGAGAAAAAGAGAGTGTGTGTGCATGTGATGGTGGTGTGGGCCGGCGTGGGGCCAGGCTCGGCATTGAGGGCAGAGCTTGCGTGGCAGCAGGAGGGCTGGGCAGAGGGCATGGTGTGGCCTGGCCCAAGCTGCACCAATAGATGGCTGCCGCATTCACCCCTCCCAACAAGTTCATGGCACCCCACACAATACAGCGCCATTGCGATGCCGCACGTTCCTCCGTGTGCAGGTTGGCCAACGCTCTGGTGGGCAACGACGATCACGCGGCGGCGCTGGAGGTGACCCTCACGGGCCCCTCCATCAAGTTCCTGGCAGACACAGGTGGGGAGGTGTACCGTCACTGCACCGCCACTGTACTGAATGCACTGAAACTGTACTGGCACTGGGCTGCTGTCGTTGTTGAAGTGCTCGTCTTGCTGCTGCTGCTGCTGCTGCTGCTGTGCCCGGTGGGGCACGCCGGCTGCTCATTGGACATCGCCACCTGAGATGCCCGCTGCCCTTGCCCCCTGCCCCTCTCCTGCGCAGTGGTGGCGGTGTGCGGCGCCGAGGCCCCCGTCACGCTGGACGGCGCGGCGGTGCTCATGTGGCAGAGCTTTGGGGTGAAGCGGGGGCAGGTGGTGAAGGTCGGCGCCACGACAGGTGGGCGTGTGTGTGTGTGGCAGCCACGGCGGTGGTGTAATGGTGTTGGCCCAGGCTTGCCACCTGTCGGCCACACTGCCAGAAGCGAGCAGCAAAGTCGCTTTGAGCGAGGGGACTCGCACAACCGGGCTCCCGTCCCACCCCCGCCCTGCCCCCGCCCTGCCTGCCCCACAGGTGGCTCCCGTGCCTACATCGCCATTGCCGGCGGCCTGGATGTGCCAGAGTATCTGGGATCCAAGTCCACCTTCCCGGGAGGCGTGATGGGAGGCCACCAGGGCCGCCCGCTGCGCCCAGGGGACATGGTACCGCTCGGCGCCACAGGTACGCCCATGGGGCTGGGGCTACTCATCTTCTGATCTGCGGTGCACTTCATATCTCATTTGCCTATGGCAGATTTACCTGCCACTCCCAACCCAGCCCCTGTCTGCCCTACACACACCCCACCGCCACATCCCACCACCTTCTCTACCTGCAGACCTCAGCAAGCTGGTTCTGGGTGCCACGGTGCCGCCCGCCTGGCGCCCTCAGTTCTGCAGTGGCATCAGCGACTGGACAGTGGGCGTGCTGCCAGGTCAGCCGCGCAACCGTCCTGCCCGCGTGCCTGCCAAGCCCCTCTCCTGCATGTGCCGCACAGCCTGAGGCCCAACCAGCTGTTGTGTTGTAGCGCTGACACTGTGTGCTGCTTGCTGCATCGCCCCATTGCCCTGCCGCAGGCCCCCAGGCCGACCCCGATTACTTCACTCCCGAGGACATCCAGACCCTCTACTCCACACCCTACAAGATCCACCACAACTCGTGAGCTTCGCTTTGCATGGCTCTCTGTCTCTCTGTTTACCTTCAGGACCTGTCCCCAGCCGTGCATGCCGCCGCCTGGCGTGGCCCCACACCCCACTCATACACGCACGTGTGCCACCCACGCCATGGCATGCAGCAACCGGCTGGGCATCCGCATGGAGGGCCCCCGTCCCAAGTTTGCCCGCCTGGATGGCGGCGAGGGAGGCAGCCACCCGTCCAATGTGCACGACCATGTGTATGCCCTGGGTGAGGCGGCGCAGGGTGGGCCAGCGGGACAGCTTGTCCGGGCAGGAGTGGTTGGCTGCAGGAGTTGTTCAAGTACTGCAGGACGGTTGCCTGGATGCCCCTGCTGCGGGCGGCGCCCCAGCCAGCCACCGCCCACGCAGCTGGTGGCTTGCGCCGAGCCTCTCCACATGTACCGCCCCGTACCGCAGGCACCATCAACTTCACCGGCGACATGCCAATCGTGCTGATGGTGGACGGCCCCTCCCTGGGCGGCTTTGTGTGCCCCGCCACCATCACCACCACCGAGCTCTGGAAGATGGGGCAGGTGCGGCCCGGGGACGCCGTGTGCTTCAAGAAGCTGAGCATCCAGGAGGCGTACGAGCGGCGCTTCAGGGTGGACCGCCAGGTGGCGCTGGTGTGCCAGGTGGCACGTGGCGCGCTCAGCGCGGCCGCCGCAGACGCCGACTTTGCCGCGTACAAGGTGCGACCCAGGCCAGCGGGGGCCGGCTTCAAGCCGGCCAGCAAGTTGCTGGAATTTTTTTCCGCACCGGGGACCTGCGCGTGAAAGTACCAGGCCCCACCTCCCAAATATTCCTCAACGCTTCTTTAACCAACAACAGCAACACCACATCGAGCAGACTTGGGCCCCATGCACCCCGCCGCCTCTCCCCGCAGGTGGACATGCCCGAGTCGCCGCCCACCGAGGCGGTGCTGCGGGTGATCCCCGCGGGCGGCGCGCACCCGGGGGCCCAGGTGCGGCTTGCGGGCGACCGCTACATCTTTCTGGAGTATGGGCCCATGGAGCTGGACATTGCGCTGCGCGTCAGGTGGGCGCCAGGCTCGAGGCGTGTGTGTTCAAATTAAACAGTACGGGTGTGGGGTGGCGCTGGTGGCAGGCAGGTGCGGGGCGCGCACGGGGCACGGAGACGTGGCGACGCTGCGGGATGCAGTGCTGCATGCTGGGCTGACGGCGGTGTCGCACGCCGCGGCTGCAGGGTGCACGAGATTGAGCAGTACCTGGCGGACAAGAGCATCGACGGCCTGATCGAGACCAGCCCCGGTAAGGCGCAGGCATCACGACGCGCACACAGTGCGCGCACTCGCAGCAGGCGCACACTTCCTGGGGCCGTGCCCGCCGCTGCTCCCACCCCCACTCATCCCACATACGCACACCTGCTACCATGCGCCTGCAGGCGTGCGCAGCGTGATGATCGAATACGACCAGCGACGCCTGCCGCTGGCCAAGCTGCTGCAGGCACGCCGCTGCTGTTTCGGCCCCTGGGTGCTGCCGCAGGCGCTTGGCTGCATCTCCGCTTCTGGCGCCCACCTCCCTGCCCTCCCCCCAGCCACCTTCACTCAGCATCCTGCCCATTCTCCCACCCCGCCGCCGCTTTCCTGCTACAGACTATCGAGGAGGCGGAAGCCACCATGAAGCCGGCAGACGATGTGTCGCTGCCGTACCGCGTGCTGCACCTGCCGCTGGCATTCAACGAGAAGTGGACCCAGGAAGCCATTAACAGGCGCGCCCTGCCTGCCTGCCCTGCCTGCCCTTTGCCTGCCTGTCCTGCCTGCCTGCTTGCCTGCCTGGCTTGGCAAGCAATGCAGCGGAGCCGCAACTGGACTGGAAGGCTCTGGAGAAGCGGCAGTATAATGGGCCACACTTTATCGTACTGCCTGCAGGTACATGCGCAGCATCCGCAGCGAGGCGCCGTACCTTCCATCCAACGTCGAGTTTATAGCCGCAAACAACGGTGAGCAAAAACGTCCTCTACAACACGCTTGCATCCTCCACAGACGCCTGCAAAGCACAGCCTCCTCCACAATAGCAGGCCGACTGAGTATCACTGCTTCCCACTGCTGCAGGCCTGGAGGGTGACCCGATTGAGGCGGTGCACAAGGTGCTGTTTGAGGCATCCTACATGGTACTGGGCCTGGGAGACGTGTACCTGGGGGCGCCCTGTGCGGTACCGGTGGACCCCCGCCACCGCCTGGTGGTCCCCAAGTACAACCCGGCCCGCACCTACACGCCCGAGGGTGAGGCTGGCGGGGCAGGCAGCCAAGGGGAGAAGGGCCCTTCAAAGGCGGGGCATAGGGGTAGCCGCAGCATGTGCAGGGTGGTGTGAGAGAGGGGTGGGCGACGCCCTGACTGCATGCTCCTGCAACAGCCGCGTCTGGTTTCCTTCTGTATGTGCAGGCGGGGTAGGCATCGGCGGCACCTACATGTGCATCGTGAGTATTGCTGCCGATGATCGTGCTGCTGGGGCAGCCGCCCGCTCATACCAAGGCAGCAGCACGCGAACCTGTCGCTGCCCACGCCCACGTGCCCTTGCACCCTTGCATGGCGGTCGCCTGGCCCGGCTCCTGTGCATCATGTGTTCTCACGTGGCAGTACCGTCCCCTATCATGGCACTGCAGTATCCCATGGCCTCCCCCGGCGGCTACCAGCTGGTAGGGCGCACCCTGCCCATCTGGAACCCCTTCACCCGCACCGGCCCCTTCCAGCCCGGCAAGCCCTGGCTGCTGCGCAACTTTGACCAGGCAAGCTCTCCCGCCCCTCCTGCTCCTGCTGTTGCTTGCTCGGGCGCCGATTCTGCGCTTGCACTTTGTCAACCACCATCGCCACCACTGCCACCAACACAGCCACATAACCACTGCCACGTGTGGTGCTTTCCTCCTGCAGGTGCGCTACTACGAGGTGAGCGAGGACGAGCTGGAGCGGCTGCGCACCGACTTTGCCAACGGCCGCCTGGACATCAAAATTGAGCAGGCGACCTTCAATGTGCACGAGTACAACGAGGTGTGTGTGTGTGTGTCTGTGAGTGAAAGCATAGCCGAAGCAGAAGGGATAGCGGGCAGGGTTCAACGCGCCTCCTGCGGCGCGCGTTTTGGGCACAGCAGCATGCGGGAGCAGGTGGCAGTTGGCTGCGCTGACAGCAGCGGCAGGCCCCGTGGCTGCCATCACCCCCTTGCTGCGCCACCTGTCCCCTCATCCATCTGCTCCTCCGCTGCCGTCTCCTGGCTTCCCCTGGCTTCCCTGCAGTTCATGAAGGGCGTGGCGGGCGAGTACGAGGAGCTCCGCCAGCGGCAGCGTGTGGCCATGGCTGAGCAGATGGCACTGGATGCGGAGATGCTGAAGAAGCTGGATGCACGGCAGGCGTCGGGCATGCACCATGCGGTGAGCTGGCCCTGCCTGTTGCGGCTGGCAGCCTGCCCTGACCCACGCGCACCTTGCAGCGCTGGCGAGCGCCTTGCTGCGGCTGGGCCTGCTGCCGCGACCTGAGAGCGTGTTTGTGGGCTCCGTGTTATGCCTGCAGCCCTCGGTTGCGGTGCGGCTTGCCCTGGGCGAGCATGATGAGCACCCTTACGAGGGGCAGGACGGTACGCAGGTCACAGCCGCCGTCACAGGTGAGCAGTCGCGCCCATGCTGCCGCCTGGTGGCGTGCGGCGCCTGGCTGGGCAGATAGCAAGGCGGCGGTTGGCAGCAGGGTGTGGACTGGCCTCGGCTGCCGCTGTGCATGGCGGCGGCGAGCGATGCCCAGACGACCTTGACTCGGGTTTCCTCCCCTGCCTGCAGGCACTGTGTGGGAGATCAAGGCTGAGATTGGGCAGGCGGTCAAGGCGGGAGACACGCTGGTGAGGCCTAGGTGCCATGCCTGACGGGCAATTGCTGGCTCCCAGCAGCGCTGCTGCCGCTGCCCTCCCCTGCTTCCTCCTCGCCCTCACTGTTCTCCCCGCCCCTGCTTTCATCCCGCCCCTGCTTCTTTCCAGATCGTGCTGGAGGCGATGAAGATGGAGTATGCCGTGACAGCCCCATGCGACGGCACCCTGAAGCACATCTGCGTGCAGCAGGCCGACATGGTGCAGCAGGGCAGCCCGCTGTGCCTGGTGGTGTGAGGCGTGCAGCAGCCGCCGCCCATCAGCTGTCTTTCCTCTCGAAGCATTTGGATCAGTCGCTGCACTCCACCCTGGCGACCCGCCGAGGGACGTACGCAGCCAGCATTTCAGAACTGCCTCTCGCTTTGTTTCATACAGTCTTCTCAGATGCGGTGCTGGTGCCGATTCGCCGGCTCTTGTTGGTCCGCCGCCAGCTGGCCGCACTGTGTACTTTCCACCCCCGTGCATGCACTTCTGCCTACTCTTCTCTATTATCCTTGACTCCCCACTAGTGAATTCCTGTCAGCTGTGGAGTACGTTACAGATGTGCAAGCGCCGACTACAACAGGGAACCATAATGGAGGTGCAGCTGCTCAGCTGAGTGTGGGGCGCTGGGCGCAGAATGACTCTGCTGGCAGTGCCTCCCCGACGTGCCACTAGCGCCGTGTGGGTGCACTTCGTCCTTCTGGCGCCTGCGCCCCCGCCCGCCGCAGCACGCGCTGCATGCGCCGCCGCCAGGTGTGCAGCGGCTCGAAACGTCGCTTCGCGCAGCAAGGCGCTCCTGGCTTCTTCCTGCAGCAAGGCATCTGGCTGGCGGCGTGCTCGAACGTCCCGGAAACCCACCTAGGGAGCTGAGGGCCCGATCGCTTGCAATTGGCCCATCCAAACCCGCTCCCTGCCTCTGCACAGCCATGAGCAGCATCCGTGGAGCTGGACAAGCCCCCGCCAGCCCCCTGCTGGCCGCTCCTGATGATGTGCTGGGCTTCCTCGCACGTCTGCTGCCCGTGAGAGACAGGTGAGGGTGCTGGGATGCGTGTGCTACGCGTGAGTATGGGGGAAGCTCGCTGCGCTGCGCCCCGACACCCACGGCCCGACCCGCCGCCGCTGCTGCCGACCTGCCCCCCCGACTCCCCTCCTTTTGCAGGCAGAGCCTGGCCGCCACGTGCACTCGCCTGCGCCGCGCCTCGCTGCTCTGGTTCCCCACCGTCAAGCTGAGTCGCCTGCCAGAGGACCCGGCAGAGGCAGCACTGGTGGCCGCCTGGCTGTGCGAGAGACACGGTGAGCCCGTGCCGCCAGGCTGCCTCTGCTGCAGCGGCAGCTGGCAGCCCTGGCTTCCGTTCTGCTCTGAGATGGAAGCCGCTCTGATCCTCTCCTGCTCGCCGCCCTCTCCTGCCCCTCACGCCCCCGCCACGACATGCCGTTGCCTGCTCTGCTGTGCAGCCAGAGCCGCCATCGAGGTCCATGCCGGCCGTGAGGAGGAGGGGCAGCTGGCGCTGATCGACGGCCTGGCTGCGCTGCGCAGCGCGCCTGTTGTCTCCCTTCAGATCTTCGCAGCGGACGCTGACTTGCCCTCCGACTTCCTGGCTGGCTACAAGTGCCTGGTGGACCTTTATTGGGAGTGGGGGTGCATGGAGGGCAGCTGGCGGGCCATCTCGCACCTCACCCAGCTGCAGCGCCTGAGCTTGGTTGAGGTTGGCATGGAGCGGCTGCCTCGCGGGGTGTTGAATCTGCAGGCTTTGACCTACTTGGATGTGAATGGCAGCCTTGAGGGACAGGGCGGCTGTCAGCACCTTGCAGCGCTGACGCAGCTGCAGGAGCTGGTTCTGGGGTACTGCGGCCTGACCCAGCTGCCCACGGCCCTGTCACGGCTCACAGCCCTCCGCATTTTGAGCCTGAGCGGCAACCACGTCCAGAGCGGCTTCCAGCACCTAGCACCGCTGTCGTGGCTGGAGGAGCTGGACCTCACTCCTGGGGAGCAGCTGCCCGCCGTGCTCTCGCAGCTGACAGCTTTGACCTCATTGACTATCTTTGGCGATGACATCACGCTTGCAAACGGCTGGCAGCACCTGGAGCCCCTGCGCCGGCTGGAGGACTTGCATCTGATATGCTGCTTGCATGAGCAGCTGCCGCCGTCGCTGTCGCGCCTGGCCACGCTGACCAGCATTTTGATCGATAGCAACACACATTTGCGGCACGGCTGGCAGCACCTGCCGGCAGCCTCCCTGCAGCGCCTTGACTTGGACGTTTTGACAGTGGAAGAAGTGCCTGTGGCGTTCTCGCGGCTGACGTCGCTGACAGCATTGATGCTTCACCATTGCTCTCTCGATGGCGGCTGGCACCATCTGTGGCCGCTCCGTCACCTGCGGCAGCTGGTGGCGGCGGGCTGCCCGGAGAGACGGCTTACAGAGGTGCCCGAGGAGCTGTCGCAGCTGACTGGTTTGACCAGCCTGTACCTGATGCGTAACCGCCTTGAGGGAGGCTGCCAGCACCTGCTGTCGCTGGCACATCTTCAGCACCTGAACTTGTCTGATTGCGGTTTACAAGCTGTGCCTGACGAGTTGGCTGCTCTGCAACGGCGGCAGGGCCTGGAACTGAAGGGATGCCCTTAGTCGTTCAGACTCTTTTTATGCTAGTCCGCCGCCAGTTCGGTCGCGCTGTCTTCCCTCGTGCATGCGCTTCTGCACTCTTCTCCCTGAAACAAGCCCACCAACAGTATAATCCTTGTGCAGCTGTTGACTGCCTTACAAATTGTGCAGTGCATGCAAGTACATCTGTGCAAGTAGTGTGCCACAACGCTGGATTATCTGCATGCGAGGAAAATGAGAAGCAGCTGGGTTCAGCTCCTGCTGCTGCTGCTGCCAGCGCCAGCGCTGCCCGCCGCCAGTTGTGCGCACTGCTGCTTGTGCCCGCCCTTCTTCCAGTGCTGCACCTGGCAGGCGCGGCTGCAGTAGGCCGCCACGTGGCAGCGGGAGCATTTCTTCAGGCTGCTGACCCGCTGCCCGCAGCCGCTGCAGGAGGGTAGGTTGGAGAGTTGGTGGCGCACAAGGCGTCCGTCTCGCACTGCCGGCAGCATCTCCTGCCCGGGGTCATGCGCTGCCGCCTCGTTCACAAAGTGGATGCTGTCAGCAATCGTGCGCCTAAACTGGGCATGTATTTCCAGCGGCAGCCAGGGCTTGCACTTGGCCCGTGCGCTCTTAGCGGTCGCCAGCAGGCCGCGCACCTCCTCCACAGACCAGCGCGGTCCGGCGGCGCCAGAAAAGAGAAACTCAACCAGGCGAAGGGCTGCCACCATCTCTACCGAGTGGGCTGCACCCAGTCACATGCGCGGCAGGAGGTGGCGGATCAGTTGTCAGGTGGCAAAAGGGGATGCAGCCCTGTATGTGTGCGCTGATGCGCCCACACTCACACTTGTGCTCTGAAGCTGCACGCACTGATGAGCGGTACGCAGCCACGGCCTCCGAGCGTCTATTGGACAAGGCCAGCAATTCACCCCGCTTCCAGTGCAAGCAGGCGCCGGCGCTGGGGTCCAGCTCCACCAGCTGGCGGTTGGCAGACAGGCCCGCTGCCAGCCGACGCTGCGCGTCTGACAACTCAATCTGCCCTTGCCTCAGCAGTGCAAGGTGTGCGTTCTGCTGCGAGTAAAGCGCCAGCAAGCGCATCTCAGCTGCACTCAGCACAGGGGCAAACCCTGCGTTGCGCTGGTGGAGCTCCAGAGCTGCTGATAAAGCTGGGTAGTCGGGCTGTGAGGTAATGCCGCCGGCGCGCTCTGCGATGTCCCTAAGGATAGCTGGGGACATGGCTGATGATTGAAAGCTGGCCAGCACTACATCTGCTATGTTGGCCATCAGGCTACCACACGGCGGCGGCGATCTTTGAAGTTCAGCGACCTGCATCTCGCAGATGGATCATATTTGTTGAAAATGCAGCTCATGCGCAATTCATCTATCAGATGCAGATTACAAGCTCCAGGCCCCACCAAATCGTTTATCGCTCGAGCGCACGTCCCGTACATAAAAGTCGCATTGAACAGTGTGGACAGCCCGCGTAGCGTCAAGTGCATAGCCACGACAAGGCCCTGCATGCGGGGCCGCTCATGCCAGACAAACGCAGTTCCCCAGTCAGTGACCACAACTCGCTGTCACGAGAGCGGCCAAACGGCACCCTTGGTACAGGCCGCTGCCGCCTCCAGCACCTGCAGCTTCTCCTGGGCTGTCAGTCCCTGCCGCTGCCGGCTGCTGTCATCCAGAAAGATGCGGTGCAGCTGCACCGTCAAATCCATGCCCTCCACATACAGCTGCACGCAGCAGGGGGCGGCGTGGTGAGCAGCGGGGTGGGGTGAGCGGCAGGCGGGGCGGGGTGAGCGGCATGCGGCAGGTGGGCGCGCCTGCAGGTCCCAGCTGCCTCGGTGCTCCTCAGACTCCTGCAGCAGCCTCCTGCCCTTCTCGAGTCTCTCTCTGTCGAACTCTCTCAGCTCCCACGGCATAGCGTCCGCTCAACCTCGTTTACACTGCGGCGTCTGCAAACGATGGCGGGCGTAGTCGCTTGGGTATGGAGGCGGCCCGGGGCTGAGTTCCGGCTCAAACCACCATCCTGCCCGCTCAGCGCACGCAGCGGGCCGCCGCCGAAGATGCCCACCTGGCTCCCAATGGACTTTCCTGCATGCTGCTCCTTTTTTCTGACCCACAGTACAAACATCAATCCCACATGGACTGCTGCTGTTGCGTGAGCCAGCAGCCACGCTTGGTGCGCTCTGGCCTCCCGATCAACCGCATTCACCCCATCATGCTCTGTACTGTGATGCCAACAAAGAACAGCTACCTTTTCTGATCTCAGTCGACAGCTTTAGATTGAATGAAATTCAAATGGCCCAAGTCAGGGGGAGACCAGCAGGATAGTGTTAGCATGGCGTGCAATGCAGAGGCACAGACATGGGTGAGTTACGGCTGCTGCTGCCGCTCAATGTACTTGAGCCAGCTGCCTAGGTGAGTGATGTCCTCTGTGTTTGATGCGCCCGCCTTGCAGGACTCTGCATAGACCAGGCAGACAGAAGAAGGTGCATGTCAGGTGGGGATGCCCGACAGACAAGGCTTCACACAGCCGCTGGGGGGCAAGGCCTGCTGGTCTGCCGCCATGTTGCACTGCCACTCCAGCGGCGCCCCTGCCAGCAACATGCTCACCTGCCACCCAGCCTTCGCAAATGAAGCCCTTCACGCTGCCCCCATCGCCCAGCTTGACCGTCCCGATGCCCAGCGGCGGCGGCACCTGCGGCAGCGCACAGCAGTGGGCAGTTGGCTGCAGCAAGACCGGCGGGAGCCCTGGGGAAGGCAGGGCCCAGGCGGTCCGCTTGTGTCACTATGTCTCAGGCCTACTGCATGCAGCAGCGCTGCGCGCGGCGAGCGCTCATGGCGGGCGATGGAGACAGCGGGCGCCTTGCACCAGGTAGACGCCCCCAGCAGCCGCAGCCGCAGCCGCAGCCCATGCCCGATGCCCAGCAGCCGTAGCAGCCGCACCTGCAGCATAAAGTGCCCGAAGTTCTCAATGGGCATCTCCCACACCTCTAGGTGCACCGCCGCGCCGCTGCCATCCGTCACAGTCACCATGCCGGGCTTCGTCTTGCCAGCCGCATCGGTGAAGGCGATCAGCCTGCAGGCACAGGCAGGAGGAGGGAGGCAGTTGGGCCCAGCCGCAGCGGGGTGAGCAGGGCGAGGCGGTTGCGGTGCTGCAGCGAGGCGGCGGCCTGGCTGTACACCAGGGCACACCCAGCATGCTCATGGCTCCACTTGAATGAGCCAGGATGCAGACACACAGGCCAATCGATCGCCGCAACGCCGCAGGCACCGCCGGCGGCCGCCACGGGTGTGCACGTGCCTGTACTCTGGCGCGGACTTGCATTCCCTCACAAACTTGCTCTGCAGGTCGGTGAGCTGCCAATTGAGGGGCTGGCCACGCAGGTGCAGGCCGCAGACCGCCAGCTGCAGCGTGCTCGCTCTTGCTGCCATGCGGCCTGCTGCTGCTGCTGCCATGGATGGTCAATTGGCGATCGGATGTCGCAAAGAAAAGCCCCGGCTCCCCAGACCCAGCGCCAGCAGGCCCAGCAGATGAGCTGCCCAGCCTTGTGGGGGGCCTCAGCGAGCTCAGACTTTTGTGCAATCGATTCAGGGCTGCAACCACATCACCTGACAAGGTGGGGCGCTGCGCTTGCACCAGCCCTGGGAACCCTGGGCCGCACTTCGCCGTGCACGCCGCTCAAGCCAGGCTATCCTGACACCGCCCATTGCAGGTAATCATCGCCCGCCAGCGGAGGCCGCAGCCATCCACGGCAGCGCCAAACTAGTGTTTTTACCCTGCCCGCCGCTGCCGCCTGAAGAGGCGTCGGCAGCTCCCCTTGCGCCTGGGGTTCTCGCTCCCAAGCAGCAGCCCAACCAGGCTGCGCAATCCACGCCTCCCAGGAGCAGGGGGCTAGCAAGTGGGCGCCATGCCCCTCACCACGGCCGACCTGACGCTGCCGGCGCTGCGCGCCGCTTATGCCGCCGGCTCGCTGACGCCGACCGCCCTTGCACAGCAGCTGCTGCCGGCCGTTGCCGCCTCCCAGAGCGTCTTCATCTCGCGGCCCACAGAAGAGGAGGTGCTGGAGCGGTGCAGGTAGAGTGCGCTGCCATGCCTGGCAGAGCAGACGGGCCACACCTGGCTCTTAAGGAGCTAGCCGGGGAGGCGTTGTCGGGAGGGCATCAACAACCATCGAGTCCCTTGCTCATTCTCTGCCCTTTGATGCCTGACACTAGTGCTGCCTGGCCTGCCTGCTGCCTGCAGGTTCCTGGAGAGCCTCCCGGCGGAGCAGCGGGGCCCTCTGTGGGGCATCCCGTTTGCTGTGAAGGACAATATCGATGTGGCGGGGTGCCCCACCACTGCCGCATGTCCTGCATTTGAGTATGCGGCGGCGGAGCACGCGCGCGCGGTGAAGCCGCTGTTCGACGCAGGTGGGGGCAGCCTGCGATCCCTTGTCTTGCACTTCCTGCCTGCGGTTGAGAGAGCAGTATTGGGGATAGGTCGGGTGGATGGGACAGCCAGCCTCGGGCCACGGGTGTTCGTGTTGCCCCCGCCGCTGGACTGACAGAGCGGGCCTGCCGCGCAATTCGGGCCGCCTGCCCATGCCTTTGCACACGCCATCACGTGGCTCGCTGCGTGTGCACTCCTGCAGGCGGCATCTTCCTGGGGAAGACAAACCTGGACCAGTTTGCCTGCGGGCTGGTGGGCACCCGCTCGCCCTACGGCGTCCCGGGTGAGGACAGGCGCCGAAGAAAGGGTGTCGGTGGTCCCGAGGCCGCCGCCGTGCTGCATGGGCGCACCCGCCCACTGATGCTGTGCGCACGAGAGCTGCACGTGCCAGGCCGCCAGCTCACACTGTCATCTGTGTGTGCTCCTCGTCTCCTGTCCTCCCCTGTTCTGCAGCCAACGCATTTGACGACCGCTTCTCCCCTGGCGGCTCCTCCTGCGGCTCGGCGGTGGCGGTGGCTGCCGGCCTGTGCACCTTTGCGCTTGGGACCGACACGGCAGGCTCAGGTGGGCCTGGCTGCCGCCGTTGCGGGAGAGGCCAGCAGCAGCTGGCGCGGGGACCGGCTTGGTATTGGTTTGGCCGCTGCACTGCTACTGCAGGCGCAGCTGCCTGCGTGCTGCTGGTCGCCCGCGGCGCCTACCCCACTCGCTGCGACCTTCCGCTCCTGCCGCCGCCTGCAGGCCGCGTGCCTGCTGGCAACAACGGCATCGTGGGCATCAAGCCGTCGGTGGGGCGCTTCAGCACCACCGGCGTCGTGCCCGCCTGCCAGCTGCTCGACTGCCCCTCTGTGTTTGCGCTGAGCGTGGAGGATGGGGCCGAGGTGGCCCGGCTGATGGAGAACGGAGACATTGCAGGTGGGCGGGCGTGTGTGTGATGGCTGTGGTGTTGTGGTGGGTGCCGGTTTGGTGGATGTGTGGTCTGGGTCAGGGCATGGCGGCGCTCCTGTTCCAGGCGCACGTCTCTTTCGTGGCTGGCTGCATGGGATGGGCTGCAGCACATCTGTCATGTCAGCCTGCCGACCGCCTGCAGACCCCACCTACCGCCTGCCCAACGCTGCCAACCTGGCCAAGCGCTGGACGCCCCAGGCAGCCTTCCGCTTCGCCCTGCCGGGGCCGCAGGTGCGGTGCGGCGGCTGCTTGCAGGGTTCGAGCAACGCGTCAGGGCGGCAGAGCTAGCTGCCAGCCCTCCTCCATCTCAGGCTTGCCATGCCAGGCACACAGGCATGCCGTCAAGCCGCCCACGCCGCTCCTTCATGTGCCATGCCTGCTTCTCTGCAGTTCCTGGACGATTCGTTCCTGGGGCCCGGCGGCGAGCCTGTGCGGCAAGGTGACTGCGCCCGTGCATGCGCGCAGCAGTGCACCCCTGTGCTAGCTAATGATCACCAGCAATTCTTTTTCCATATCGCGCTGGCCACCTCGATCCCAGCTATCCGATGCCTGTGGCCTGCCTGCCTGCCTAAATAGGAGTATGAATATTCTCCCTGCCCGCCGCCTGCCCCTGCAGCCATGGAGGCGGCCATGGGGGAGGCGGTGCAGCGGCTGACGGCGCTGGGCGGCGAGCTCGTGCCGGGCTTTGACTTTGCGCCGTTTGCCGAGACGGCGGTGCTGCTGTACGGCGCCGCATTCGTGGCGGAGCGATACGCAGGTAGGCCTGCCGGCAGCAGGGCTGCGCTGAGCCTGGGCCGGTCGATCAGGCGCCTGCTGTATTGCTGTCGCGGCCTTGGCCGCCCTCGGAGGCCCCCAGGTTTCCCTGGCCGGCTCCTGGCAGCACCTGCCTGTGGCTAGGCAGAGCGTGGCATCTGATACCCCCTGCCCTACTTCCAGTACCTGCCTGCCCGACTCCCTCCCCTCTCCCCAAAAACTGCTCGTTCCCCGCAGGCATCCGGGAGTTCCTTGAGGGGCGCTTGGAGGCGCCGCTGGCGGCGCCGCAGCTGGCCAGCATCCACGACGACGAGCGCATGCTCAAGGTGCGTGCTTGTGGTGGGGGGTGCTGTCTGCTGGGGGTCAATGGTTTCCTTTGCCCCCAGCCGCTTCAGGGCTCTGCTGGGGCTGCTGCTCTGCTGATTATGGCTGCCTGCGAGATGCGGTGCTGTTCCTGCTGCACATGTGCATGCCCTCCAGCTTTCGCTCACCTGGTGCTGCCTCTGCCGCGCCGCTGCCGCCAGGTCATCCGCACCATCATCAGCAAGACAGAGGGCTTCAGCTCCGCAGATGTTTTCCAGGGGCTGCAGCAGCTGACCCAGCTGCGGGGCAAGGTGCGGGGCAGGCCTGCCGCGGAGCTGGCGCCGTCCTCTTGCTGCCGAGAGCTGTCAGCAGCGTCGACGTTTGGAGCGCCGCCCAGCTGTTTCCTCTGGCATGCACTGCTCTGCCCTTTGAATACCCGGCTCTCCTGGTGGCTTCGCTGCTGCTTCCGCAGTGCCGCGTTGAGCTGGCGAAGATTGATGTGCTGGTGGTGCCCACCTCAGCCTACAACTATACGATACAGGAGATCCAGGTGGGGTGGTGGTGCCGCTGACAGCAGGGCGTACTGCTGTGGCAGGGGACCCTGCATCCAGCTGCTGTTTACGGGGATGCTCACTGCATCCAGCTCGCGGATGCATCCTGCACATGCGGCCCAGGGCTGCCGCCGAATATGCGAGCGGGCAGCCCGGCGGCTCTGCAGCCCCCGCATGCCTGCGCTGACCGCGGCTGTGTGCTGGTCACTTCTCTGCAGGCCGAGGAGGAGGTGCCCGAGTATCCCAAGGTCACTTTCCACAAGAACGCCAACCTGGGCAGGTGCGCTGGTGGCAGGGCTGGGCCACTGACCATGTTGGCACCAGGCCTGCATGCGCCTCCTGCCTGTTTGTCGCGTCACCAAAATGCCACTTCCCCTCCTGACTGCTGACGCTGTACCGCACACTGTACTGCAGGTGGACCAACTTTGTGAACCTGCAGGACATGTGCGGTGTGAGCGTGTACAGCGGCCTGCTGCGGCTGCAGGGCGGCGCGGGCGAGACTGAGGAGCAACGCGCACGGCAGGAGCACCTGGCCGCCACCGGCAACCCCACCTCCGGTAGGCAGCCAGCCACGGAGCTGCGGCCTGGGCCTCCGGCACCGGGATGCATAACCCCAACCCCAGCGCTGTCAAGAGACCAAGAGGTGCTGCCGCCCGCCTGCCCAGTCTTCCTACCTCCGCCTTTCGCCATTCTTCTCTGCCCCTGCAGTGCTGCCCTTTGGCATTACCATGCTGGCCCCCTCATGGACCGACGAATACGTGGCGGGCATTGCGGCGGCCTACGAAAAGACCACAGGGCTGGCGGCGGGGCCGGCCGGCCACGGTGTCACGCCCTACCGCTCTCCCAAGTAGCGGCACGGCCACTGCTTGCAGCCTGCTCCGTGACACGCCCTTGCGGCCTCCTAGCTTTCCTTACAGTTGTGAGCACCCCCACGGTACTCTGTCCCACCCAGCCCTCTGAGAATTGCAATCAGAATCAAATGCTAGCGCGCCCCTATACCTGTCTCACATGAATTGTGAAGTGATTCTTGCTGCCTGCTGCCGCGGCCTGTCACGGGCACGGCAGGGAAAACGCTGGTGTAAACAACTAAAGTGTGCATCACATGCTTGGCTGCTCAGCTTCCTTGCTGTGTGCCATGGTGCGGGCTCTCTTGTTTTTTCTCTCTTGCTAGGGCCTCAGGCTGATGGGTGGCTGGAAGGCTGCCCTGCCTCCCACTGCTGATCCGGTCCCTGCGCCTCCTCAGCAGCATTAGCCGGCCCCTGCGCCTGCTGCTGCGCCCCCGCTGCCGCCTCTGCCGCCTCTGCAAGCTGCGGCTGCAGCTCCGGGCGCTGCTGGACCGGCGGCGCAGGCTGCGGCCCGCGTCTAGGCGAAGGCAGCGGCGCGCCCTCGGCCAGGGGCGGCAGTCCGGGCCAGGCAGGCAGGGTGGAGGAGTCGGATCGTTGCACCCCTTCCATCGGCAGCCGCATCTCAGCATCATCTGCCGCAGAGCGGCGGCTCATGGAGGAGCTGGTCCTCAGCAGCTTGCGCCTGCAGGGAGGGGTGTGATGCCGGCAGTGTGCAGCTGGTGGTGGCACTGGGCGGTTGTGGGTGGGCAGGCGGCGGCCCTGCAGAGCGGCCTGCTGTCGCAGCAGGGTTTCAGCGGGATGCTGTGCGGCCCAGCCAAATCTCGCCTGCTCTGCGGTGTGTCGCCGCCAAAGGCGCCGCGCAGGGGCCCCGCCCCTGCCTCCTCGTCCCGCGGCCCGGCGTGCACGTTGATGGTCGGCAGCCCGGCGCGGCTGTCGCGGGCCGCCTTGCCGCCATCGGCAGCCGCCGCAGCGGCGGCGATCTCGCCGTCGTCCGAAGTGAGCGGCTCCATTGTGCCGCGCTTGCTGCCCGCCACGCACGGCAGGCAGGCCAGGCCCAGGCTGGCACGCGCCGCGCTGAGCTTGGCGGCCACGCTGCGCCCCGGCGTGCCGCCGCCGTCGCCGCCGGCCTCTCCACCATCCTCGCCGCCGTCCTCGCTGACCTCTGCGGCCGCCTCGGCGGTGGCGGCCTGCCTGGAGGCCCTCCTGTCTCGCCGCTTCTGCGACCAGTTGCGCGAGAGCTGGCGGGCGAGGTGGAGGCCGTTGAAGAAGATGGCGCAGGCCAGCAGGAATCCCACGCCGGAGCTCAGCGTCAGCTGCACCACGCCCAGCGCCGTGGCGCCGCCGCCGTCGAGGTCCTCCCACTTGCTCACGCCTGCCGTCAGCAGCAGCAGCCACAGTACTGCGCGGGGAGGCGGCGGCGGCGGGGCCGCAGGGATCGAGCACAGGGGTGAGAGCCGGGGTGAGGGCTGCTGCTGCTCGAGGCCACAGTCAGCATGCCTGGGGTGGGGGCATGCAGCGGTAGCACGGGCAGCACAGCAGCAGCCAGCAGCGTTCCTCCAACGCCATTGCGCTCGCCTCGCCCGCCGCCGCCCACCTGTGAGGGAGGCCAGCTGCAGCCAGTTGTCCACGTGCGCGGCAAAGGGCCAGCAGCGCAGCGTCAGCATGATGTACACCAGCAGTACGACCTGCCCCGCCGCCGCCTGCAGGCTGCCGTTGGCCTGGGTGGGGATGAACACCTGCAGGGAGGGGGCAGGCAGGAGGGGTGCCAAGCATGACAGCAGACAACAGGCAAGTGAGTGGCAGGGCCTGCGGCAGCACACGTGGCGCAGCCACATTTCACACCAAGTCTGTGCTCAGATGCCGCTCATGTGTCCCCTCCCTCCCTCCCTCTCTCCACTCTCCACACACGCAAACACACACACACACACACACACACACACCACCGCTCGCAGGCCACCACACCCCCACCGCTGCCACCACCGCTGTGTCTTTCTTTCCGCCGCCGCCGCACCGGCATGAAGGCGATGGCAAACTTGCGCAGCATCTCCGTCGTCTCCCAGTAGGGGAAGCGGCAGGAGTAGGAGGAGTAGAGGAAGCCGTACTTAGCTTGGACCACCGCGTCCTGCAGCCAGGCAGCCAGGCAGGCAGGCAGGCAGGCAGGCAGGCAGGGAGGGAGGGAGGGAGAGTAGTAACGGTGCAGGGAAGGACGATTGGTTGGAAGAGAGGAGTGGCCCTGGGGGCAAGGCAGAAGGAGCCGCAGCAAGCAATTGGCGAGGCAGACGGTGACAGCAGCGGGCGGCGGGTGGGTACCACCGGCCGCAAGGAGCGGAGAGCGCTGACCACAGCGTGCGCGGCAGCAGCTGCAGGAGATGGCCACGGCCCCTCACGCGGCTGCCCCCTGTGCCAGCAGCTGCCGCCCCCTGCACCCGCAGCTGCCCCCGCCTTGCACCCGCAGCTGCCCCCGTGAACCAGCATCTGCCCCCCTGCACCAGCGGCTGCCCCCTGCGCCGGCAGCAGCCCACAGCGCCAAGCTCACGTCCAGCTTGCCGCGGTTGAGGTAGACGGCGGCGAACCAGAAGGCGGGGATGACGGCGGCGTACAGGATGAGCAGCGGGATGCCGGGGATCATGTATTTGAGGTAGGTGGCCACAAAGGCGCCGCCGGGGTACTTGACCTGCGAGACGGCGGGATTGGTGGGAGCGGGCAGGGAGCCTGTTGTGGCGAGCAGGCGGCGTGCACCGGCGGGCACGCTGCAAGCCATACAGACACACACACTCCGCTATTCTCCACTCCGCTCCACTCCACTCCACACACTCCAAGCACAGCACACGCCGCCACCGCGCCAGCAGCCCCCGCCACACCGCCCGGCCTGGCCCACCATGATTGAGAAATCTGCCTTGAGGAAGGTGCCTACATCCAGCTTCTTCCACCCAAACAGCTGCAGCGCCGTCATCGCGCAGCGAGGGTACAGCAGCGTGACAAACCAGAAGGCGTTCTTCCAGCACCTGGGGCGGGGGAGGGAAGGAGAGGCGGGGGCAGGGAAGGATGGACGGGAGGGGAGAGGGAGGTGGTGCTGGGCCGGCGCGGAGAGGCGCGGGGCTTGCTGGCGGCGGAAGCACGGAGGGGCGAGCAGCAGGCAGCAGCCGTGGGGGCGGCGCGGCCCAAACGCCCTCCTCCAGTGCAGCCACAGCCCTCATTCCCGAGGGCCGTCCCCCTCCTCTTGCAGCATCGCGCCACCTGATCTTCAGCCCCTCCAGCCAGCCCACCACGCCGCCCGTGGCGGCGCCATCCACGCGCCGCTCCCGCCGCGGGTCCAGCCGCCGCAGCGCCAGCTCAGCGCCATAGTAGGCCGTCACGCAAGTGCCCACGCACACAAAGGGCAGCACCATTTGGAAGATGTACACCACATAGAAGCTGCCGCCGCCAAAGAAGCACTCTGCAGGCGGACGGGCAGGCAAAGGCAGGCAGCGAGCGGGGGCAGGGTGAGCTGTGCTGTGTGGCTGCCACACCAGCGCCGCCAGCCAGCCAGAGGGTGCCAGCCGGTGCTGACCGGTGCACCATGTAGCCGTGGACCGCACGGCGGCAGCTCACGCCGCTGGTCTGCGCTGAGCCTACCTGGCGCAAACATGGAGAAGCCGGCGTTGAGGATCTCAAACCAGCCCAGCGCGGTGCTGGTGGCTGTGGGCCACATAACATCATAGTCTCGGAAGAGGGCCAGCATCTGCAGGCACGCAGAGTAAAGTGGAGAAGCAGCTGAGCGGTACCACCAGCAAAAGCTAACGCAGCAGCACTAGCCGCCGACGCCGACGCCGCAGCAGCAGCAGCAGCCCAAGCATGGACCAGCAGCAGCAGCACCACCACCAGCCACCAACTCCACAGCAGCCACAAACACTGCCCAACACCGAGCGAGCAATCAGTGCGAGCTTGCCTGGAAGTGGGTGAGGAAGATTTTGATTTTGGTCATGATGCCCGGCCCGGTGCCGCCCCAGTCCCAGTCGCGGGCAAACAGGGCCACCGCCAGCAGGGTGAGCAGGATGACGGTCACCGCAAGCATGGCCTTGGACTGGGCTCCAGCGCAGGTGCTGCAACCACGGCGTGGCACAGCGTGGCACAGCGTGGCAGCATGACAGCGTCAGCATTGCAAAACCTGGCCAGCATGCTACGCTGCTCGGCACAAGTGAAACGGAGACGGGCCCAGCCAGCAGGGTGGCTCCAGCACTCACTTGCAGCTGCCGCTGAGCTTGAAGTAGCCAGGCAGGCAGACGTCGCAGAGCGGGCCCTGCTGCCCCGGGGCGCACGCCGCGTCGCCGGCGGGCGCGCCCGCCAGGCACACGCCCGACAGCATGCAGGGGTAGAAGGCCACAGAGGCGTTGGAGGAGCGCCAGTAGTTGGAGAGGGACTTGATCTCGCTGCCGCCTGCGCAGTCGGCGCCTGCAGGAGCAACAGGGGCAGCAGAGGACGAAGAGAGAAGAGCAGCGATGGGAGGCGCTGGCAGCAGGCCACAGCCGGCACAAGCAGCAGCAGGCTGCTTTGGGAGTTGGCGGAGCAAGCAGGACAGGCAGGCAGGAGGCAGGCGGGCGCACCGTCGGGGCAGGGTAGGCAGGCGCCGCCATCCAGGTTGAAAGTGCCGTCGCTGCACTCAACGCAATCGTCCAGGCTGGTGGTGGGCTGGCTCCCGGGTGCGCACGCAGCGATGGTGACGGGGAGGGGCAGCGGCGGCAGCACGCCGATGGGCAGCAGCTTGCCACTGGGGCCGCTCGTCCCATCAAAGTTGATCTGCACGCACACCCACACAACCACCCACACACACTTAGGCGGGGGTTCAATCAGGCCTGATCTAGGCACAGGACACAGCTTGTCAAGCAGCAAAACAGCCAGGCAGAGAGCCTGGCCCGGGATGGCTTACTGCTCTGCACGGCATGTTGTTAGAAACAGCCATCAGCGACAACCGGCAAGCCACCCCACCTGCAGGTCGTAGCTCTGGTTGATGGTCCCCTTGAGCTGCAGGTTGTCAAAGCTGGCCACGCCCTGCAGCGCCATCTCCTCCCGCCCCTTGGAGCTCAGCACAGCGCTCGTAGAGTTGACTGCAGTTAGCAGGGGCAGCGGAGGGCCAGCGGTTCGAGCTTGCACCGAACAGGGCGGAACCGACAGCTCAAGCCTGCTCCTGCACCGGCCCAACGCATCGCCCCAGCAGCAGGCGTGTGGCGTGCTGAGGGAGAGCACCACCACCCGCAGCAGCAGGTTGCCCTACCTGTGGCAGCGCAGACGCCCTTGGCGGTGGCGGCCACCGAGCCGTAGAAGTCCAGCAGGCGGACCTCAAAGGGCGGGAAGTTGCAGTTGGTCTGCACCAGCGACGGCGGCTGGTCGCCTGCGGCATGGACCGTGAGCGCGGCGCAGGGGGCAGCAGCGCAGCCACAGGGGGACGTGAATCTCAGCAGCAGTGGCAAGCATCTGCTAAGGCATGCGACAGCAACCCGCACTGCTGCGGCATGGCAGTACGGACTACGGACAGCGGTACATTGCGGTACGCTCAAACCTCCTCACCGTACTGCATCTCCAGTGCCTCTGTGGCGAAGTAGGGGCCCTCTGCCGGCTCCACGCTGCACTCCCGACAGGTAAGCTCCGCGCCAGGCGACTTGCTCCGCAGCCTGCAGGCAGGCGGGCAGGCAGGCAGGCAGGCAGGCAGGCGGCCAGCAAAAATGACTTTTTGGAGTCATCGGCGAGGCAGCTGAGCAACCCCCTGCCTGATCAGCATGCCACACAACCAGCACCGGCAGTAGGCCCTCACCAGTAGGCAGCAGAGCCCATGCCCTGCGCCACGTTGCCGGCCAGGGAGAGCTGGGCCAGCGAGGCGCCCCGGCTGAGGTTGGCTGCCAGGAACAGGCCGCCGCCGAAGAAGGCAGTGTTGGCGGCCAGCTGGCTGGCAGCTACGCTGAAGTTGGGGTGGGCCAGGTAAAGGCCTCCCCCCACCCCTTGCAGCTCCAAAGCCACAGAGTTGCCGGCAAAGAGCGACTCGCTGCAGGCAGGCAGGCATGCATGTTCAGGAGAGCAGCGGGCGCAGCCAGCCAGCCGCCACGTTGGGAGCTGCGTGCCTCCTGGCACCTCCCTGGCACCTCGCACCTCCCTGCCGTGCAAGGCAGCTGGGCCCCGCCTGTGGCACAGTCTGAGCCAAAATTCGCCCACCTGACTGCCAGCCGGCTCCCAGGGTTGAAACCTGCGTAGAACAGCCCGCCGCCCGCCATCCTCGCCACGTTGCCGCTGACGTTCAGGGCAGACAGCAGCGCGGTGATGGGGTTGCACAGGCCGCCGCGGGCGCACCGCTCGTCCAGCGCAATGGCGCCGCCCACACCGTCAGACATGCCGCCGCCGGTGGCCGCATTGCCGACCAGCTCCACGGCCTGCAGGCAATGGTGATATGGGGCAACGGAGAGATGCTGAAGATTCCAGCACAGCACGCTGACGTGGCAATGCAGCGACCACACCATTACTAACAAAGCGCAGCGCAGCCGCTGTCCCACAGCCAGGCCTGCTCACATTCATGCGCAGGCTGCCCGCCGCCACGTGCACCGCGCCGCCCCGGTCGGATGCCTGGTTGCCGCTGAAGCTGACTGTGTCCAGGCTGACAGAGGCGTAGGCGGCGGCCTCCTCGCTGGCGCCGCACTGGTCGGTGCTGCTGCCGTTGAAGGGCTCCACGCCGACGAAGATGCCGCCACCGCCCTGCATTCCCAGTGGCGGGACGAGAACAGCGCGGCAGATGAGCGCGGGCGGCTGCCTGCTTGGCAGCAGACCAAAAGCAGCGCCGCCTGCTTGCTGCTCGGCAGCTGGGGCCTCCCAGCTGCCGGCACTCCCAGCAGGGCGTCTCCCCGTCGAGCAGGCGCCTCACCACTGGGCGGCTGGAGGCGCAGCTGGAGGCGCCGTTGGCGGCAAAGAGCGACTGGGAGGCGTTGAGGGAGGCGCCGTCGCCGACCGCGATGCCGGCGCCGTATCCCGAGGCGCTGTTCTGGCTGAACTGGGAGCCCACCACCACGAGGCTGCGGGGCAGGAGGGGCAGCAAGGAGGCTGTGTGTTGGGGCGTGTGTTGGGGCGTGGAGCTGGCCGAATGGTTGTGTCTTGGTAGGGTTCGGGATGAGGTGCGGAGCACAGGGACCAACCAGCTCAGGCTGGGCTGCCTAGTACCCCTGCCGCAGCCACCACTGCTGCCGGCCATGCCATGCCATGCCGCTCACGGGCAGGGGCCCTCTGCAAAGAAGCCGCCCCCGACCGCCGCCGTGTTGTTCTGCACGCGGCAGCCGTACAGGCCCACGGGCGTGGCCGACTGGCACCAGCCGCCGCCGCCGCGGGCCGCCGCCACGTTGCTGGTGATGCTGACATTGACCAGCGCCGCCATGTCGGCGGATTCGATGTTGAAAGCGGCGCCGTGGTCGGTGGCCACGTTGCCATCGACCACGCTGTCCTGCGGTACAGCCAGGCAGGCAGGCAGTACAGGCAGGGCGCAGCCAGGTGGCAGCATGGGAGGCTTGGCGACGCGTGCAGCAACGGCATGCAGGTCAGCAGCACCGCAATGGGAAAAGCCTGCTGCAAGGGCATGGGAAGCCTGGGCAGGCGCAGCACACAGGGGGGCTCACGTTGACAGACACAATGGTGGGCACCACGATATTGCCTTCCGCCATGCGCATGGCATTCAGCCCGCCCCCGAAGCTGGCCCTGTTGCCGCTCAGCTCGCAGCCCCGCAGCAGCGCCACGGCGGAGAAGAGGGAGATGGCGCCGCCGCCGCCCCACTCGGCGGCGTTGCCCACGTGGCGGGTGGCAGTGGCGTTGTACATTCCGTACTGCACCAGCACCCCGCCGCCGTACACCACCGCCGTGTTCTGCAGGCCAGGGCGAGTCGGCAGGCAGCTGGCTGGGCAGGCACCCAGAGGCGCAGCCAGGGCAGCTCGCCAGGCGGGCTCGCAGGCAGGCAGCCTGGCAAGACGCGGAGCGGGCTGCCGGCGGCGCGCCGGCAGCGCATCAGTCCAGCCCAGACCACCAGCAAGCGGCATGCAGGGCAGGCCCAGCCCCAGCGGCAGCCGCAGGGCCTGCTGCGCTCACGTTGATCAGTTCTGAGTCCACGATCGTCACGTTGGATCCCCACACCAGGATGGCCCCCGCAAAGCTGCCAGACTTGTTGTCCACCGCCCGCACCCGCTCCAGCCGCACCTCGGCCGCCAGCTGCGCCGAGATGGCGCCACCAGAGAACCCCACAGAGCCTGCGGGGATGGAGGTAGAGGGGCCGTGAGGCAAGCAGGTAGGGCACGGCGGCGCAAGGCGGAGCGAGGTGCAGCAGGCGGCGCGCGGACGGCAGCCAGGCGCCACGTGCACAGCAGGCAGGGGGGCAGGAGCAGGCCTCAAGGACACCGGCCAGCCAGCTGGGCAGCCGGCCCCGGCCGTTGTGGGCCAATCCGCACCTCCTGCCACCAGAGTGTCCCGCACGAGGGAGGGGCGGGTGTTGAGGAAGTAGAGCGCGCCTCCCTGGCATGTGCCGGGGGCGCCGTCGTTGCGCAGGAACTCGCAGCCCTCCACCTGGACGGCGCCCTCGCTGACGTGGATGGCGCCCCCAAAGTTGGCGTAGTTGTCCCAGAAGCGGCAGCCCAGGATGCGCGGCGCGGCGGCGGCGCCCGACGCCGAGATGGCGCCGCCGTTGCCGGGGGCGGCGGGGTCGCGGGAGCCGCAGCGCGAGAAGATGCAGTTGGAGAAGGTGGGGGAGGCGTCGGCGATCGACACGCAGCCGCCGGGGACGGAGATGCCGTTGGCGATGGTGAAGCCTGCGGCGGGAGGGCGAAGCGAGTGAGCGGCGCAGCAGGCATCGGGCGGGCGCCCGCCGAAAACAGCATGGCAGGCTGGCCGCACTGCCCATCACGGAGCATCCACTGCATTCAATTGATCAAATGAATGCCTGGGGAAGCTGTGTGTTATGGCGCCTGCAGCCCAGCAAAGCCAAGAGCTGTGCATACCCGACACCTGGGCGCCCTGCCCGTCGGCGGCGGTGAACACGAACGCGCGGCAGGCGGCGGAGCGCTGGCAGTCGATGGCCGTGGCCCCGGGCCCAGCCACAGCCAGCAGGGTGACATTCTTGCCGCCGAAGCTCAGGTTGGTGTTGCCTGGGCCGATGTAGGGCGAGCCCTCTGCAGCAGGCAGGGCCAGGCACGTCGGCGTTCCGTGCCCGAGCCGCGGCAGCACCTCGGCTTGCTCTCGATCGCACCTGGGAGCACGTTCACAGTGGTTCCAGGCGCGGCAGCGTCGATGGCGGCCTGTATCGTCGGCACCTGCAGCAGCCGCCGGCAGGGGCCGCTCCCGCAGGGCTGGCTGGAAACGAACAGGTTGCCTGCATCGTGTAGGAGCGTGTAAGAGGGCAATGTTACCAGTTTCCAGTAAGTTTTGCAGGCGGTGAGGGTGGCGCTGAGCGCCGGCGCCCACTGCCACTGCTCTGTCCCCTCTTCTCCTGCCTTTTGCTGCCCACCTTGGGAAATGGCGGGCCTAGAAGGTGAAGTAGCAGCCACAACTTGCCCACCGGCGTCCAGAGCCAAGACGCGGTAGAAGGGGCGGGAGGCATCGCCGCCACCGCCATCCACGATGCTGTAGGTGTCGTGCACTGCATCCAACCTTGGCTCGGCGGCCAGCAGGCTGCGCACGTAGCCTCCCTCCCCAGGCTCAGGCATGACTGCCAGCGGCCAGCGCTGGATGGCATACGCAACCGCCGCGGGAGTGCTGCGGTCTCTGGGAACCGCCGACCACACAACCTGCGGCAGGCAAAGGGGAGACATGTTTCGCGACAGCAAGTGGCACACATGAATGAATCAGGTGCTGGCAGGGCCAGCGCCTTGCAATCAAGCGTGAACCGCCCTTTCACAAAGGCGGCGGCAAGCGGCCAGCTCCAACCGCTGGCAGCAGAGGCAACACCGACCTCTGTTGACTCGCCATCCTCTGCCAGCACTGCATAGTGCCAGAGTCCGCTTCTGATCGCCAGCGAGCCTCCATGTTGACCTCTTGCATTCGTCGGCAGTGCACTGGCGCAGGTGGCGGCGGTTGCCGCCATCAAGAGGAGCAGCATCACGCGCGACTGCGCACCAGCTGCTGCGAGGCTGTTGATGCGAGGCCGCATTCACAATGATTTTCGAGCTTTTAAAAACTCATTGAGCTGCCGACAAGCTCGGGGGCCGCGGGGCAGTTGTGGTAATGTGGCAGATGATGCTCCGAGCGAACCGGTCTTCGGGAAACGCTGCGTCTCGCGTTGAATGATTAGTTTAGGAGCATTGCAAGAGACGCGGCAGTGTCTGTTGGGGGCAACCGCACTGAGCTGTACGCGAAGGGGTCAACAGCGCCAGCCTGGCGTCGGGAGGCGACTGGCCAAAGCGCAAATCCATTCAAGAACCGAGCCCTGATGGTGACAACTGCAGCATTAGCCAGAATCATTGATCATTGACGCAAAATGCCATGGCAGGCTGCCCAACCCCAACGCTCATTTGTGCACTGGCCCGCCTCACTCTGGTCCGGCTGGAGCAGCCCACTGCCGCCGCAAACGTCCGCCCATGAGCCCTCCGTGGGCCCAAACAGCAGCTCCATGTAGGGTTTCTGGTTGTACTACGGTTCAGAAGAAACTAATGCAGAGGAAAAAACATCATCGGTGCCAGAAGGGCATCATTGGCGGCAGCCCTCTTGCTGTGTGCGCTGAGCGGGCGGGCGGGTGTTTTGAGCCTGAAACTCAGGCCCGGGCCGCCTCCATACCCCAGCGCCTCCCACAACCACGCCCACCGGTGATAGTTTGCAGACGCCGCAACACTGCGTTTCACAAACGAGGTCGAGTGGCTTCAGCCCAGGGCCCATGCCGTGGGATCTGAGCCAGTTCGACAGAGATAGACTCGAGAAGGGCAGGAGGCTGCTGCAGGAGTCTGAGGAGCACCGGGGCAGCAGGGACCTGCAGGCGCGCCCGCCTGCGGCATGCCGCTCACCCCGCCCCGCCCAGCGCTGCTCACCCTCCCCTTGCCACCTGCAGATGTTTGTGGAGAGCATGGATTTGACGGTGCAGCTGCACCGCATCTTTCTGGATGACAGCGGCCGGCAGCGGCAGGGGCTGACATCTCGTGAGAATCAGGAGGTGGGGGAGGAAGCGGGGAGCGTGTGGCATGTGTGCAGTTGCCTGTTGCTGGTGACTGTCAGCCCACTGTTCAGAACTGGGAGCTGCATTGCGCATGCTCTGCAGGGCCTCGGCATTATCATGCAGTTGGCTGTGCGCAGCCTGCCAGCACCATTGACTGCACGCATACTTACACGGGAGTGCGGTCAGGCACTCGATGCTGCGGTGAGCGAAGAGTCCAGTGTTGTGCATGGATTCCAGCCTGGTGTGCCAACTCACATTGGTGTGCCCACTCGGGCAGGAATGCAGGTTCAGGAGCTTGACAGCTCGCTGCTGCCATGGGCTAGCCGGATGGCCAATATTTTCCGTGCAGTGCTCATCGGCCTGCGGGCACCCGGGGCTACCCCTCGCCAGCTTATGTTGCTGCTGGGGCTGCCAGGCCTGATGACTTCACGGGCTGGCTATTCAACTGTGGCAGCAGAGCTGGAGCAGCTGAGCAACGCAAGGTGCAGCCCCTTGCTGGGCGCAGCTGAGATTCGCTTGCTGGTGCTGTGTGTGCAGCAGGATGCAGCCTGCGAGTTGGTGAGGCGAGATCTACAGAGCCAGAGGCGCAGCAGTGGCTGGCAGCGGCCCTGTCTGCCAACCGGCAGATGATGGAGCTTGATGCCAGCGCTGTGGCCTACTTGAACTTGAGGCGGGGTGATATGTTAGCCATCTTCCAAGGCCGCAGAAGCACCGAAGTTGTGGCTGCATACCGCTCGGCACTGCACGCCGCTCCAGAGCACAACTGTGAGTGCGGGGCGCTGGGCCGGTGTGGTTCACGTGTGGTGGTGCCTGCACCAAACCCGCGACTCACTTTCTGCCTGCTACTGCGCATGCGCCCGGTGCAGCCCACTTTGCAGAGATGGTGGCAGCTCTGCGCCTGTTCCAGGCTCTCATCGTTGGCGCCGCCGGACCGCGCTGGTCTCTGGAGGAGGTGCGCGGCCTGCTGGCGACCGCCAAGAGCGCGCTGGCCAAGTGCAAGCCCTGGATGCCTCCGGAATTGCACGATGATTTCAGGGGCATAATTGCCGATGGCACCCACTTTGTGAACGAGGCGGCAGCGCGCGGTCCTGAGCAGGCAATGCTGCCGGCCCTGGAAGGGACACAGCTGGACAAGACGCAATTCATCGCCGTCCCCAAGTGCAGCGGCTGCGGGCAGCATGCCAGCACCCTGAAGAAATGCTCCCGCTGGCGCACGGTGGCCTACTGCAGCCACGCCTGCCAGGTGCAGCACTGGAAGGAGGGCGGGCACAAGCAGCAGTGCGCACAGCTGGCGGCGGGCAGCACTGGCACTGGCAGCAGCAGCAGCAGCAGGACCTGAACAGTTGAACCTTTAATTGGCTTGCCGGATAGCTGGTTAAGACCTTTGCACAGTTGCACAGATGCAATTGCATGACTTGACTCAATACCAAATACTCGTGCAGAACAGCAACCGATACACTGCGCAACTGATACAGTTTTTATGACACTGCTGCACAGCCACTGGCGTCGCTCCCGCGGTCGCTGCTCCCCAGCCGCCGTATCCGCCCATCCAGCACCGGCGCAACCTCCCAGTGCCCCGTGGCCGGGTGCTTGCGCGCAATGTGGCTCACACCCGCCTCCTCCAGCCGCTGCTGGCTGCGCGTGGCGTACAGCTCGCTGCTCTTCAGCAGGCGGTCGGCCGCTCGCCGCCAGGCGGGCACCCGCCCCGTGTTCTCCATCTGCGGCCAGGGCGCAGGGGGCAGCAGCGAGGGCTGGCAGCTGGGGAGCTGGGAAACGGAGGAGGAAGCAGGGGCAGCAGATGCCAGCGCTTGCTGCCACATCAAGGCCCTCCCCGGCAATGGCCTCTGCCCAGCTGCTTGCCCCATGCACCCCAGCCTGGATGGCCCAGGAGCGCAGGCGCTCACGTAGCGGTTGGCCATCCGCAGCACCATGAAGTGGTTCATGACGACGGTGGGCAGCAGCGGCGTGCAGTCGCAGTCGCACAGCAGCTGGGAGCCCATCAGCGCTTCGTAGCCTGCGGCAGCAGCATCCCACCACAGCAGGCCGGCGTCAGCGCGGCGGGCCCTCGCCAGACGCGGCAGCAGGCCAGCGGGCCGGCAGAAAGGAAGGTGGAAAGAAGGCAGGGATCAGAGATGGCCGGTCAGGGGTTGGCTGATCTGGCTGCAGCAGCCACCCACCATCTTTGCCTTCAGCCAAGTACTGCTTCGTGGCGAGGCTATACAGCTTCACTGCAGTGGCAACGGCAGACAGAGGTGGCGGCTCGGCACAGGCGCAGTGCATGGCAGCGCCCTGGCGGCAGCCGGCACATGCACGGTGGCTCCCGCCGGCGCTGCACAGCCAGCGGTGCTGGCGTGCCGAGCGGTCCCCACCTGGATCAAGCGGCTCGCCGCCCACCATCACACTGTCTGCCACGATGCGCTGGCCCGGCGGCTGAGACGTGTCAAACACAAACCGGATGCCAGACACCTACACACAACAGGTGGCGGGGAGGAGCGGGTGAGAGCCCAGGTCGGCGGGCGACTCCAACCAGCATGCATGGCTGCAACAGGCGCCCCCCCTCCGCATGCCGTGCCTGCTGCCTGCCTGCGCCGCTGGCGGCCCCACCTGCGGAAACCGCCCCTCCAGCTTGGGCCACTCGTACACTCCATTCTCTAGCGCCTCCAGCAGCTGGGCGCCTGCACACGCAGCAGCGGCGGTAGGCAGGAAAGCATTGGGCATTGCTGTCATCGGCACTCCTCGGGCTGAACCGGCGGCAGCGCGGCGTTGAGGCGTGCGCCGAAGGCAACAGGGCACGAGGGCAAGAGAGGGTGGGCAGCAAGGGAGGCAGGGGAACAGCCAACCTGAGACCTGGATCACCACAGTCTCATCCAGCATGGGCAGGATGCTAACCAGATCGCGGTGGGTCAGCTCCCCAGCTGGGTGGATCCGGTCTGCAGGGCACGGCATAACTACGAGACATGAGAACGGCGGGCCATGGACGCCAGGAAGCAGTCAAGGCAGGCAGCCAGGGTTGCAGCGACATGCCACGACATGCCGCTGCGGTCACCCTCTGGCAGGTGGCAATGCCCCGTCCTGGCAATACAACGGCAGCGTGTTGCCTGAGCGCAGCGTGCCGCCGTTGAGGAGCGCCACGTCGCAGCGGCAGGCCTCCCGCCACACGTCGCACACAAAGTTGCCCAGATTGCTCTCCCCTGTTCGGACCCTGCAGGCAGGAGGCAGGCACGGCAACCCCAGGCAGGCTTGGTCAATGTGCATGGCTCAGGCTCAACCGCATGCATGCAGGCTGGCAAGAATCAAACCGAATCCAATGAGCAGTGGCTGCCGGCGCCAGCAAGCGCACGTGGCAAAGCGGCCGTCCAGGTCGGTGGCTGTGGTGCCCACCACCACACCCATTCGCTCCCCCATCTGCTGCTTGTAGCGCTGCACAGCAGGCAGGCAAGCCAAGCCGGCGTGGTGGATGCTCAGCGGCAGCCCTGGTGGCAGCCTGCTGGTGCCCTGCTCGTCGCATCGCCAGCTGCCACCGGCCGGCAGTGGCAGCCAGGTCCGAGGCAGCTTTGGTGGGGCCGGACGCTATGCACGCTGCGCAGCACTCGCCGTGTGCATCGCACGCTATGCATGCTGAGCAGCCAGCGCCCCACCTCCACGATGGCCGCCACCTCAGCATCCTCCGGCACATCAGATGTGATGGTGTGGCGCAGGCAGCGCACCGCGATGGTGGGCCCGCCGCCTGGCTGGCTGTTCCCCACCGGCCGGCAGCTGCGCAGCGAGGTGGCCAGGCTGGCATCCGCGGCCGCCTCGTACACCGCCACGGCCGGCGCAGGCACCACCGGCACGGCAGCGCCGGCGCCGTCTGCCCGTGGCGAGGTGGCGCCGCGGGGGCTGGCTGCGCCATCCCTGGGCGAGCCCACCGGGGTGCCCACCAGCCCGGGCACGCAGGCGCGGTGGGCTCCCGGCGACGGCGGCGGTACGGCGTGCGCCGAAGGGTCAAGAGGGTCTGCCCCAGCGGGTGTCAGCGTGACCTTGATTTCCGTCAGATCTTGGAAGTCTGTGCACGCCAGAGGGGTGGGTGGCAGGGGACAGCTGTCAGGCTGGCCGGCATGCGGCGGAAGCAGGCGGTCACGGCACAGCATCCTGCTTGGCAGGGCACGGCCGCCGCTCACCAGTGCCGCTCTTCACAACGACTGTGCCGTGGGGCTGCAGGGGAGCAGGCCAGCAGTAGGGCCCCGCGCAACATGCAGCAACTCAGGCAGGCGCAGGCTCTGGCAGGCTCCAGATGGGATGGGAGCACCTGTGACGGGAGGGAGACGGCCGGGCACCAGCCGGCCGTGCCCAACACCGCAGTGTGGCACCCTGCGCTGCTACACCCTGTGTCCCTCACCCACCTCGCTCCGCAGCAGGAAGCAGTCATGGTCATGCCCTCCCAACACCAAATCGATGCCGGGGGCCTCCCTGGCCAGGCGCATGTCGTTGGGCAGCCGCATGTGGGTGAGAGCCACCACCAGCTCCGCGCCCTGCTCCTGCACGGGGCGACAGGACGGGCACGCAGGGGCAAGTGGCCGGCCAGGCCAGGTCAGCAGAGCCGGAACAACCCAAGCCTTGCTCCCAGCAGGGGACTCGTGTGCCCACGCTGGCATCCTGGGGTGGGATGGCAGGCCCTCGAGCCTTGCCCAGCCCCCGCCCTGCCTCACCCGCAGCTGCGCCGCCAGGCGCTCGCCCTCCTGCACAAAATCGAGGTAGGTCACCTCATCCGCATCCACGCTGGCCAGCGTGGTCAGCCACTCCTGCTCCACCAGGCCTGCACCCGAGGAGCCATGCACCGCAAGCGCGTCGGCGGTACATGACACCGCGCAAGTCGGCGGCCCCGCCCGACGGTGCGGATGTGGGCAGCTGCACTGCCTGTGCAGATAGTGTGCTCGTACTCGCATTGCCATGCCTCTAGCCCATGCACACTGCTACCCAACCGATGCACGAAACCCTTGGGACAGGCCGACCCTCCTGGCCCGCTCGATTACACACCACAGCATGCCCGACCTCCCAACCCACTCACCGACCAGCCCAACCTTGATGCCCTGCCAGTCCAGCAGCACACTAGGGGCAGCGCCGCCCAGGGGGGCGCCCGTCTGTACATCCAGCACGTTGGCCATCAGCCAGGGGAAGGAGCACTCGGAGGCGCGCTGCTGGAAGTTTTCCACGCCGTAGTCGAGGTCGTGGTTGCCCACGCAGCAGGCCCGGATGGCGCAGCAGTTGAGCACCTCCACCATCTGCTTGCCCTGCAGGGCCAGGCGCGCGGCAACGGACGGCGAGGAAGCAGCGGGGTGGGGGTCTGGCAGCACTGGGGAGCTGCTGAGGTGCGAGCTATCCGCTGCTGCTGCTGCTGCTGCTGTCAATGATGATGATGATGCCGCAGCCGCTCGTGCCTGCGTGATGGTTGACAGCATGCTGGGGTTGAAGACGTCGCCAGAGTGGAGGACCAGGGCGGTGGGCCCAAAGGTCCTGATCTTAGCGGCCTGCAGGAGGATGCCCATTGTGTGTGACGACAAAAGGAGGTGCGTGCGGGAGGGACCCACACCAGCAGGGACTGCTTCTCCTGGGCATGCATGCGGCAGGCGGGCAGGCGGGCAGGCGCGCACCATGCGGGCCGCGCCACCGACGGGCTCCCGCTGCCTGGCCTCTATATCATAGCAGTCTGCAGCGGAGGCGGACCAAAGGTGAGGCAACCAGGCGGCAACGTGCTGGGCAAGACACAGGTTTAGCCAGCTGCAGCGGATGGACCAGCAGCATTCAGACATCCAAAGCCAGCTTGGTCAGTATAGGGACGCCCCAGACAAGCGCTTGCCATTGAAATGGAGGATGGTGAGGGTGCGTGGCGCCGAAGCCATGGCGGAAGGCGGCCCGCGCGGCGGGGGAAAGCAGCTGGTATCGGCTGAGCTGAACCGATGCAGCTTGGGGCTGATCAAGACAATGCTAGCCTGCCATTGCTGCTGGCAGGCGGCTTTCTCCCGGGCTAGAGAGCTCCTGAGGCCAGCTGCTGCCTGTCGCCAAGCCCTGCGATCGCCTGGGACTTGCCACAAGATGTCGCCAATTCGGAACCATGAACGCCCAGAGGCTGCAGCCCTCTATTCAGGCCGGTTTCTTGCAACCAAAGTACAAGTGGTGTACTTTCAGCCCGGTTTTGCCCATTTTCCCAGCCCCCGGGAGTCAAACAACGTGCAATTTGTTCTGACGGGCAGCGTCATTGCATTGAGAGGTGCATCCTGTGACCGATCGAGGTGCCCCTTGCGTTCGCCTTCGCTGCCGCCCTCCAGCGCCGGATAATCGCGCCAGTGAGCCCGCAGCAGCGGCGCCGCCTGAACACGGCAGAGAGCAACCGCACCGGGCCGGGTAGTGGCAGGCGCGGCGGCGGCGGTGGAGGTGCCTGTCTGCTGTCGGTCCATGCCTAGCCAGGGCCTGTCTCAGAGCCACTCGCAGGACCTGGCCATCTCACTGACGCTAGAGGACGAGTTTCCTGAGCTCTCGGCCAGCCAGGTGCTGGCAGCACTGCAGCAGGCGGGCGGCAGCCTCGAGGCGGCACGCCAGCTGTGCTCGCGGGCAGTCTCCGCTGCAGCCTGCCACCCAGGCAGCGCAGCGCAGCAGGGCGCCCCGCAGCAGCACCGGAAGTGGTGGCCCGCATCCCAGTTCTGCCCCGTTGAGCCCCTGGTGGCCACCAGGAGCAGCAGCTTTGGCAACAGCACCGCCACCAGCAGTAGTGCAGCCAGGCGGCCGCTCCTGGTGCCTCACCAAGTCGTGCCTGCCCAGAGGAGCCCCGCCACATCGGGTCTGGCCACCTACCAGCAGCCCGCCATGCAGCCCTCTGCAGGTGGCGCCCGCGGCGGCAGCCAGCCAGGCGTGGGCCAGCAGTCGCCCGCCACATCCGCCATTCGCCGGCTGGTCGGCGGCGCCAGTGGCGACGCCCCCAGCAGCAGCAGCACCGCCGCCGCTGCCAACGTCAGGCCTCCAGGCGGCATCCTGCAACGCAGCACCGTGGCAGCCAGTACCACCGGCAGCACGAGCAGCGGCAGCGGCAGCGCCCCCGCAGGCGCCCTGCCCGCCGCTGCGCAGCGCCGCCAGCGCGAGGCGGCGCAGGGGGAGCGGCAGCCGCTGCGCCCGCACTATGCCGCCGTCTTCCTGACCGACAAGAGCCGCCAGCAGCTGCTGCAGCACGTGCCGCCGCTGCACGAGGTCGTGACTGCAGACCACATGACGGTCGCCTACCAGCCTTCCTTGGACGAGTGCCTGGCGCTGCCGCTGGGCCGCGAGGCAGCGCTATTTGTGGCGGGCGCGGCGGCAGACTACCGGGCGCAGGCAGTGGCCGTGGAGCACCCCTCCTGGCTGCCCTTCCTCTCCGGGACGCCGCCGCACGTCACCGTGTCGGGTAGGGCGGCGCCGCAGCCGCTCTCCTGCTCCCTGGGCTGCGCGGCTGGAGCTAAGTGTGGAGGTTCCTACTGCCGCCACTGTCCCCACCCTACTCCTACTGATGCATATGGCTGTGATGCCTTCACTTTATTCACGTGGTGCCGTGCTGTGCTGCCCTCTGCCGCCTGCAGTCGGGGAGGAGGTGCCGGGCAAGGAGGCGGGCGACGTGACGGCGGCGGCGCTGGAGCAGCCTGGCATGCTGGCGCCTGTGGCTCGCCTCAAGCTGCTGCAGGGTGGGTTGCCGGCTGCTGGCGCGGTCGATCGGTGTAGCCGTTGGCAGGGCGGCGCTACAGCCTGGCAGCGGCCCTCAATGCTTCCCTCGCTGCTGGCACGTCCTTGCATGATGCTGGCGTGGCGGAATTGCCTGGCCTGCAGGCGTGGTGGGCGTTCAGCTGTCAGACGGCAGCCGCGTGTATGCGGCAGACGAGCTGCAATCCAGGCTGGCGGCTGCGGCGCCCACGCCAGCAGCGCCGCGCACTGGAGGACCTGCTCGCATCCTGAAGCGCGGAGCCGCGGCGCCGGCAGCCCCGCGAGGGACTGCGGAACCGGCTGCGGCGGCAGAGCCGGCCACTGAGCCAGCCGTCCCTGCAGCATCCCCGCCACCTGCCACTGCCACCACCAGCAGCAAGGCAGCAGCCTGGGATCTGGATTCGCTGATGGATCAGCTTCACCTAGCCGAGCAGCCGGCAGCCCCACCAAGCGGCCCCGCCAGCAGCAGCAGCAGCGCCGGCCCGGCGGCAGCCCAGCCGCAGCCGCGGCGCGGCCTGCTCAAGCTGCCGGCCGCCGTGGCAGCCGAAATGGCGGCTCCTGCAAGGGAAGACGCGGGTCCAGCGGCCGGCAGCAGCAGCAGTGGCATCAGCATCAGGGGCCCGCCGCGCCCGCTTGCCGTGCGCCGGCCGCAGCAGCCGCAGCAGCAGCCCCCTGCACCCCGGAAGCAGGAGCAGCAAGGGTACGGCGCCGGCGCTGGTTCCAGTGAGGGCTTCTGGGCGGAGCCAGCTGCTGCCGTCACTGTGCTGGGCAAGACAGTGGAGGAGGAGGCAGCCGAGGCGGCTGCCGGCGATGCCCCGCTGGACATGGTCAGCAGCCTGGCCTTCCTGCTGCCGCCAGAGCGCGATGCGGCCAAAACGCCAGCAGCCACGGCGGCGGCGGCGGTGGTGTCAGAGCTGGGCCCCGGGTACGAGACCAGCAGCAGCAGCATCGCAAGCCTGGGGGAGCCGCAGCAGCAACTGGATGGGGAGGTGGCAGCCGCCGCCGTGGTGGACCCGCAGCTGCTGCAGCTGCTGCAGCTGCAGTTCCCGGCGCTGCACGAGTTGGTGGTGGAGACGGCGCTGCGCATGCACGGCGGCAGCCTGCAGGCCGCCGCCCAGTTCTTGGGGGTGCTAGACCAGCAGCAGCAGGGCCTGGCCGCAGCGGCAGCCGCGCAGCAGGCAGGGGCGGGGCCGCGGCAGCCCACGCTGGGCGCCTACTTGCAGCACGTGCTGCCTGAGGGCGGGCCCGCTGATGGGGCCTACGACTTTGTGCCACCCAGCAGCAGCAGCAGCAGCAGCCCCGCCAGCTTTGCAGACTCCGGCTACGACATGTACCACCCAGGCGCTGCGGCCGCCGCTGGAGGAAAGCAGCGCGCGGGCGCCCCCGCCGCCGGGCGCGGCTGGCAGCAGCAGCAGCAGGGAGGCGGCGGGCGAGGAGGCAGGGGTGCCAAGGTGAAGCGCAACGCTGGCGACGATCCCATGTCTGCGACTGAGCGGCAGGCAATGAACCTGCACCTCACCGCCAAGCGCATCTACACGCAGGCACGCCCAGCCGCGCTGCTGCTGCTGCCGCTGCTGCTGCCGCCTTGCCGCGGGGCCGCGGGAATGTGCAAGCTCCGCCTCCAATCCTCTCTTTTGCTGCCAGAGGCCTCGCCAGACCAAGGCCGGCTGAGCCTCACGGCGAGCCGCTGCCTGCTGAGGTGATGGCATGCGCCCTCCTGCGCCATACCCCCACCCCCACCCCACCCGCCCCCCGCCGCCGCCTCACCCACCGCCTGCAGGCCGCCCAGGAGGCGTTTGCCACGGGCCAGGCAGCGCTGGGCAAAGAGATGCAGGCGACGGCGCGGGCCCACGCTGACGCCGCCAGCTCAGCGCGCCGCCGCGCCAACGTGTCTGCCTTCAGGCGAGGCCCCTGCTGCCCGCCACTCCCCTGCTGCCTTTCCCAAGCTTTTCTGGCACCTGCACTTGCGCAGCAAGCCCCCCAACAACTCACCCCCAACTCCTGGTGCCCCACCGCCCCCCGCTGCATACCCGCAAGCGGGCGGATCCTGCGTCCCCTGCCCCTCCTTCACCTCCCTCTCCCTTCCCTCTCCCCTGCCCCTCCTTCACCTCCCTCTCCCTTCCTTCTCCCCTGCCCCTCCTTCACCTCCCTCTCCCTTCCTTCTCCCCTGCCTGCCTGCCTGCCTGCCTGCCTCCCTCCCTGCCTGCCTCCCTCCCTGCCTCCATCCTTGCCTGCCTCCCTGCCCTGCAGGTCCACCAACGCCGCCGTCATGAACAGCTTCACTCTGGACCTGCATGGCCAGCACGTGGACGAGGCGCTGCAATCGCTGGAGAGGTGGGGCGGGCTGCTTGCTGCCTACCGGCCGTGATGGTGGTGGTGGCGGTGGTGGTGGTGGTGCTGGTCACAGGGGTAGTAGATGGAGGCGGTGGGCCTTGGAGCGAGCTTTGCCTGCCAACCCTGCGGGTGGAGATGGCGACGCGCCACGCCACCATACCCTGCCGCTCATTGACCGTCTCGCCTCCTGCCCCGGCCCTCCTGGCAGGTATCTGCTGACGCTGGGCGGGCTGGGCCACCCAGGCGGCGTGAGGCTGCAGGTCATCACAGGCCTGGGGCGGCACAGGTGAGCTGCTGGGGGCTAGCTGCGCGGCACGCACAGCCGCCGCTGCCGCGTGCTACAGGCGATGGGAACCGGCAGCAGGTGGTTGGCATGCCTCCTTACCTCTCCCCAGTGCACCCACGCTAACACTGGCCCTGGCCCTGCCCTGTGCCCTGCGCATGCAGCGTTGGCAACGTGCCGCGCGTGCTGCCCGCGGTGGTGCGCTATCTCAGCGATGCCGGCTACAAGTTCGATTCAGAGGAAGGCAACCCGGGCATCGTCAACGTCATGATTGGTTGCTGAGGGCTGGTGCCAGGCGCACACCAGACGGGCGAATCCTGCAGCTGTGGCGCCCGCCCGTCACCGGACGCAACCGCCTGCTGCGATGCGACCAAGGCCGCCTCCCCATTCTGCGCGTGATTCACGCCCTGCCATGCCATTGCACCACTTTTCACAATGTGATTGAAATTCAGCAGCAGCAGCCGCCGCCGCAGCAGCAGCAGCAGCAGTATCACACTGCGCAGCCCAGTGCTGACGTGGCGGGCGGGGTTTGCTAGTACCAGGACATCGCCCCCGTATCGATCCATCTCTTTGCACCGACACGCGCATGGCGTCCGTACATGCCACTTAGAAGCCGATTGGCCATGGGAGCCACGGCCTCAAGGTTGGCCCCCAGGAAGTCTCAGGGGGCGGCCCTGCTCAAGGCCACACGCGGCGGCGATGTCGGCAGAGCGGAAGACGTGAGTTGCGGGTCGGGGCGGCCGCGCTGTGTTGGGTGCCGCCGAGTGCCCGCAGCGCACGCCTGCCCTCCCGTCTCTGAGGGGTGCAGAACAGCACTGAGACGCCACGCAGCGATTGAAAAGACCTTGCCGGCCCACGCTGGCTGGGCCAATTGGGACCCTTCCTCGCCGCCCTCGCCCCAGTCAACCGCCCGCCGCCACCGCGGCCGCGCGCCCTCTCGACCAATTCCCATGCCGCTGGGCTCCGATCGTTTGCCTCCCTTGCCCACCCGCAGATTCTGGAATCCAGCCCTGGCGCGGCGGCCTACTGCACGCTGGAGGGGCTGACCCCGCTGCACGTGGCGGCGGGCGCCCGGAATGCCGACCTTCTCGAACGGCTGCTCATCGCGCTGCGCCAGGCGGGCAGCCACCGGCAGCCCAAGGCCGCCAAGAAGTCGTTCAGCAAGACGGTGGGCGCTGCGGAGGCGGCTTTTGCTGAATCCTTTCTCGGCACAACGCACAGCTGTGGCGGTTTGGTTCTTGGCGCGCCAGCGCGGCTCCTTTGCGCCTGCCATCTGCCCACAATGCCCCGTGCCTCCTGCAGGTCAACCAGAAGAACGTGCACGGCCAGACGTGCCTGATGATTGCCTGCAAAGCCGGCGCCGCCGACTGCGTGCGGCTGCTGGTGGAGGCTCGGGCCGATGCCACGCTTTTCGACGACCTCAACCAGCGCAGCTGCCTGCACTATGCAGGTGAGTTGGCGGAAACACTGTGCGCGGGCGCCGGGCTTGCATCTGTGCTTGGAGCTTTGCAGCCTGCGCAGCCGCAGAGGGCTGTGCAACACAGACGCCGCAGGGATGTGGGGCTGGCTCGGTGCCCCTTGCACCTCCCCTCCTCTGGCTCAGCATCCTCGTCCCCCGCCCCTCGCTGCTGCCCTGCCGCGCCGCCCTTCAGCGATGTATGGCTGGGCTGAGGCGATAGAGGCGCTCCTGGAGGATGAGTCGGTTGTGAGGGCCGGCGACGGGCATCAGCAGCCGCTGCGCGAGGCGATGATGGCAGACAGCCAGGGCCACCACAGGTGCGGCGCACTGAGCACGCTCGCTCCGCTGTGCAGGCACTCGCCGCGCAGGCAGCATGTGCGTGGGCTGGACGCTCCCCACGCATCAGCCTGAGCAGCATGCCGTCCTGCTGGTGTTACACGACATGCCCTGCCTCCCACGCCTCCTCCTCTTGCGGCAGGTACATCGATGGCCGCGACGGCTACGGCCTGGCGCCGCTGCACCTGGCCGCCAGCCAGGGCCACCTGGCCGCCGTCAAGGTCCTGCTCAAGTGGGGTGCCTGCCTCACAGGCGCGTCCCGCTGCCCGCCCGCTGCTGGCAGGCCCTTCTGCCTGCGGCCTGCGGCCTGGACGCCAGCCCTGCCTGCGCCCTGCCCACCCTCAAAACCTACCCCTCGACCTGCCGCCCCCTGCGCTGCCCCCTTTGCTGCCGTGCCTGCAGTAAGGTGCAACGTGGCGTACAACCTGGGCTCTACAGACCCCTGGACCCCCGCCTCCACGCCGCTGCACTTTGCGGCGGCGGGGCGCGGCCGCATCGTGGCCGCCATCCTGCAGGCGGCGGCGGAGCAGGAGCAGCAGGCGCTGGCCGAGGGGCGCGGGCCGCCGCTGGACATCCGCCTGCTGCAGGACTTCAGGGGTGGGTGTGGTCCGGGCGGGGGCTGGAGGCGGAGTGTGTTGTGCGCGGCAGCAGGGTTGGGCCGGCTGGGACTGGACGCAACGGCGGTGGTGAGCAAACAGCGGAACAAGGGGCAGTTTGGGTGCCCGGGTCCCAGTCTCTGACACTCCCCTACTGCATCCCTTCCAACCGTGCCCTTCGCCGCCTGCCGCTCCACAGGGCACCGGCCATACGACATTGCGATGGCGGCGGGCTACCGCTCGATAGCATGGGCGCTGAACCCGCGGGTGCCGCTGGCGGCGCTGCTGCAGCGCGCGACGGCCACGCCGGCGGTGCCCTCCCTGGCGCTGCTGGCAGCTGCCGCCCTGCGGCGCCAGCTCACCCAGCGCCTCGCTGAGCTGGCAGGCGCGGTGGCGGAGGCTCGCAACAATGGCGCCGCCGCCGTGGCAGAAGACGCCGGCGGCAGGCGGGGCGGCGGCAGCAGGCGCAGCGGCATGCCCCCGTCGAGAGAGGGCTCGGGGCACGGCGGCAGCAGCTACGCTGCCTATGCGGCGGCAGCAGGGGCAGCAGGCCGGACCCTGCAGGCGGCAGTCGTGGCGCGGCTGAGCAGCGGCCCCAGCGTTGGCCGCCTGAGCTCTGCCGGCGGCGGCGGCCCCGGTGCCAGCACGCACCGCCGCCAAGGCAGCTTTGGCAGCGGCCTCCCCGCCACGCACTCCCGGCATGCCAGCGAAAGCGGCATGGGCAGCAGCCTGCACGGCTTCCAGCCGCCCGCTCCGCCTGCAGCCAGGGCCGGCAGCTGGCGTGGCCGGAATGCGCTCGACCCAGCCTTCTCGCCCGGCTCGGCGCCAGCGGGGCAGGAGCTGCTGTGCAGCAGCGCCACCGCCTCGCCTGCTGCCGTGGGCCTGCTCAGCGTCGCTGACGGGGTTGCCACGGCCAGCCCCATCATTCAGTGCGCCCGCACAGCCACATCAGTCACCTCTGTGGCAGGTGAGGGGCGCGTTTGCCTGCGCTAAGCGCACAGCTGCGGCCCGGCTGTGCCAGCCCTTGACAAGTTGGCAGCACATCCCCGTAGCCACCCGGCAACCACCGTCTGTTGGCTCCTGTCTCCTCCCTCCCTGCAGGCTGCCCCGTCTGCCTCGACTCGCGCCTTGAGGTGGCCATCTCTCCCTGCGGCCACGGCCTGTGCCTGGACTGCGCCCAGCATCTGACCCAGGCAGAGGACGGCTGCGGCGGGCCCCTGGGCACCACGGCGGTGCTGCCGCTGTGCCCCTTGTGCCGCGGCCTGATGGCTGGCTTCAAGATGCTGCCGGCGTAGAGATGATGAAACGAACATGATGCGGCTCAAGCCTTCATTGTGCATGAACTGCAACTCAAGCACATTTTTGAATCAGAAGGGCCGAGAACCGTGCATCCCTCATGCGCGTGCCCCTTTTGATTGGAACTTGAATCAGTACTCTCGCTCTAGTGAATCATCACCAGCCTACTTGCCTCCTTTTCATGTCGCTTACTGCTTTGTCTGTCAGCACGCTTTCTTGTCTCTCACACCCAGCCGCGTCATACCACTCGCGATTCAGCAGCCCCGTGCGTAGCACTCAATCAGTTGCAAATGCGCAGCAGCGAAAAAAAAAGCCGCGCAGCGGCGGCACAATTTAAGTGAATGTTGGTCTTAGTGCGCATTCCAAGTTGACAAATTTTCTCCTCTCGCAGGGTGGGGGCAGTGTGGCGGTGAATCTAGCAGCGCCATTGCCGAGTGGCTGGCCGCAGCTGCCAACGCATTGTGCTTGCAGCCGCCTGGCAGGCCCTTGCCATCGGGCTCACAGGCCCCTGAGGTCGCTGGCGATGTTGGCAGCCGAGACCCAGGCCTTGAAGGAGCCGACGGTGGCCACAAAGCCGCGCTTGGCGTCGGAGGCAGAGCCGCTGGCCGCCGCCCCCTCCAGCGCAGACAGGCTGGACAGGACGGAGGCGGCTGCAAGGTAGTGTACAGCAGAAAAGGGGAAGGCATGGAACCAACTAGCAAAGCGGCCCAGCTACCTGAGCCGGGCATCCACAGGGCCAACATGGTGCCGGGACCAACAACCGCTTGATTACGCAGGCACGTGGCGCGGTTTATGCGGGGCGCACCCGAGCTCTTGGCTGCGTCTGTGTAGGACAGCTTCTCGGTAGCCGACTGGAAGTCGCGCACCCAGGAGCCGCTGCAAGGGAGGCGGGCGGGCAACCTCCTGTGTGAGAGAGTGTGTGCGTGCTTGCGGTGGTGTGTGGGCGGTGTTGACGGTGTGCATGTAGGCAGCGGAAGAAGCCAAGCCAGGAGGTGCATGGCACAGGGCTGTTCAGGCTGGCATGCGCCGCCCCACTATCGGCCTGCCGGGCCGCTCCCGCGTGGTGCGCATGCGCACCTGAGGGCGGAGGCGGCGGCCTTGACGTCGCCAGCCTCCAGCGCGGCGCCGCTGATGGCCAGGCTGTTGATCGCCTTCTGCACCGGGATCAGCTCCTGCTCCAGCACGCGGTCTGCAGGAGAGGAGGGAGGATGGAGCGGCACACGTGAGGTTGCAGGGCAGTTGGGGGCGCTGATTGGTGGGACCCTGCTGAGGATGCGTGATGCTGGCGCGGAGAAGCTGTGTCGACACAGGGGAGCGGCTCTGCAGCAGCGGTGCAGCCCTTTGCGGCATGCAAGCTGGGCAGCTGCCGGCAGCGCCACGCACCCAGACCGCGGGCGGAGCGCGAGAAGGCCTGCTCCGCCTGCCGCTCGCTGGCCAAGCGGGCCTGGCGGTTGGCCCGCGCTTTCTGCACCAGCTCCTCGTCATCGTCGTCAGGGATGAGGGCCAGGGCGCGGCTGGCGGGCAGCAGCACGGGCGCGGCGGCCAGCAGGCCCGCCACGCTGCGCCGTGCCAGGAGCGGCTGCTGCTCGGGCTCGCCCGCCACCGCGGCGCGCACCACGGCCGCGCGGCTGGAGCTGCTGCGGGGCGCACGGGCGCCGCTGGCCGCAAAGGGCTTCGCCACAGCGCACACGGCCTGCATCCTTCTGCAGCACACCAAAAGGGGGCAGCCAGCCAGCGCGATGTGTCGGCGGCGCGCCCCATTGTTGGATCTGACCACGGGCTGCCAATGGAGCAGGGCGATGGCCGCTGCACTGGCCGCTTGCACCTTCCAGCGCCACCCTGCACGGCACCACAACACACCTTATCGCTGGCTTGGTTGAAGGCCGTGGGGCGGTGTCGAGGAAGCGGAAAAGAGTATAAAGCTAGATGGTGTGATGCCTTGGGTGCCCAGCCGCGTCGCGCCTGCTGTGCGCCGGGCTGTGCACTGTCCTGCCGACTGCTTACAGCGGATCACCAAGAGCACCCTGTCTCTTCAGATGATAACTACCAACTGTGGGTGGAAGCTGCGCAGCACTCCAGGGGCGAACTGATGGCAGGACGTGGGCCTGCTCCCGCTCCGGTTTCCGGCGTGACGTTTTGTCAGCTGGCAGGCGGCATGTCAAGTCATCTTCCGCCATGATAATAACAGTTTGAGGGAGCAGTGGTTTGTGGCGATGGATAGTGGGCGCAGCCAGACTTTTTGGAGGGCTGCCATTGCAAAACGGCGGCGGGCGGGTGTACTACCCGAGCCTGTACAGCCTGAGCTTATGGCGGCCTGCCTCGCCGCCATCGCTGTGAGCGCGCAACATGCTTTGCTGCTGATAGGCAGGAATCCGGGACTGCAGCTCCTTGTGTGAACTCGGCCGGTTGCCATCCAGGAGAGAGCCAACCCCTGAGCCCCTGCACGGGTGAGGACCGTCGGAGGAAGGCGCAGAATGCCGGCGCGGGGCGCCAGAGCGGGGGAGTGCGGGCGCCGACCGCCGCCCAGCAGCAGCAGCGCCGGCCGCTTAGCAGCAGCGCCTTGTGGGGGGTCGTGCGCTTATCTCCTCGCATTCTCTCTTACAGGCTCCCATGCAGGACCAGCAGCAGCAGGGGGAGGGGCGGGCAGAGATCTACACCTACAGCAGCTCGGCCAGCGTCTACGCCTGCGGCTTCTCGGTGAGCAGCCAGCCAATGGCAGCGGCCGCCGTCAGCTCTTCCAGCCCAGAGTGCAGCACAGGCAGCGCAGGCAGCGCAGCACGAAGTCTCAGAGCATGTCGGCCGCTGCGCTGCAGCCGTGTGCCCGGCAGCTTACCGCCACTCTCGCCGCTCCCGCCGCTGCGTGCCTCCCTTGCAGTCCCGCCCCGACAAGCCCTTCCGCCTGGCTGTCGGCAGCTTCATCGACGACTATGCAAACAAAGTGGAGATCATCCAGTGTGAGTGTCTGTTTTTAGGCAGGCGCTGCGCTGCACGGACTGCGGATGGCACGGTGCTGCCGCGGCTGCTGTGATTGCACGCGGCTGCTGCTCGGGTCTGGCGCCGCCGCTGGGGTGGGATCTTGTCTGGCTCTGGCTCTGGATCTTCATCTGGGGCGCAGTCTTGGGCATGTGGGTGGTAGCACGCTGCTCAGACCAGGCCCCACCTGCCGCCACCACCACTGCCTATGCGCGCCACCCGCAGTGGACGAGGCGGCCGGGGTGGTGCGCAACAACCCTGCGCTGACCTTCCAGCACCCCTACCCGCCCACCAAGGTCGCCTTCATCCCGGATAAGGTGAGGCGCCGAGGCCGGGCTGACTGAGCCAGGTTGTGGGCTGCCTGCCGGGACAAGGCAGCAGCCTGCGGGTGCTGTCCTGCCCCTGCCCCTGACCTGACCGTGCTGCCCCGTATGCTGGCTCTGTGATCCCCGCCTTCTGAACGCCACCACCTGCCGCCGCCGCCTCCTGCCCCAGAGCGGGACCCGCCCCGACCTGCTGGCCACTAGCGGCGACTTCCTGCGCCTGTGGCGTGTGTCGGATGAGCCCGGGGCGCAGCAGGGCGTGCGCCTGGAGAAGCTGCTGAACAATGTGAGGGCGGGCGGGCGGGCGGCTGCGCTGCAGGGGGTGCTCAGCGAGGGTGGGAGCAGGGGTAGGGGCGCCTCGGTGCGGCGAGTGCCGGCAGGGCTGCTGGGGAGCGACGTGCCGGCCAGTGTACAGAGCGCACCCTCGCCGCCAGCCCTCGACGCGGCGCTCGCACCACCTCACACCCTGCCGTCTCCCTCTCTCCCCCATGCTCCCATGCTCCCATGCTCCCCTTCCCGCCCGCCACCCGCCGCAGAACAAGGGCGGCGACTTTGCGGCGCCGCTGACGTCCTTTGACTGGAACGAGCTGGACCCTCGCCGCGTGGGCACCGCCTCGATCGACACGACGTGCACGGTGTGGGACGTGGAGCGCGGGGTGGTGGACACGCAGCTCATCGCGCACGACAAGGAGGTGGGTGGGTGCGGCGCGGGGGGTGTAGTGTGGCCACGGGCGTGGCGTGCCTGCTTGTGGGTGGAGCATGGGGTGGTGGTCAGGCCGCAGTTGATTGCGAGCTACAAGGGGGTGGGTGGGGTGGTGGCTTCTCTAGGCGGTGCTGGTCCTGTGTTCAGCCATGCGCTTGAGCATATGTGCACACCGATTGCATGGAGGGGTGTGGGCGTGGTGGGGCATCAACATCACACCTGCCTGCCCCTGCCCGCCCCTCAAAGACCTCGCTGCCGCCCGCCCGCCTGCCCGCCTCCCCCACACACATCTATGCCAGGTGTACGACATTGCCTGGGGCGGCGTCGGGATCTTTGCCTCGGTCTCCGCCGACGGCTCGGTGCGCGTGTTTGACCTCAGGTGGGAACAGCCGGCTCACCCGCCAGCCGGGCTGCGTGCCCGCCTGCCCAGCCGCTTGCCCTCCGGCGCAGCCCGTGCACACTTCTGCGAGCTCCGCCGCCAGGCCGCAAACCCACGCACGCTCGTGGCCCCGCCAGAAACCCACGCACGCACGCTCACCCGCTTGCGCATGCATGCACTTATTGTTGTTTGCCCACAGGGACAAGGAGCACTCCACCATCATTTATGAGTCCCCCCAGCCCGACACCCCCCTGCTGCGCCTGTCCTGGAACAAGCAGGACCCGCGCTACATCGCAGGTGCGGCGCGGCCGGCGCGGGGCCTCGCGGTACCATCGTGCCCCAGCCGAGCTGCCTTGCGGCTGCTCAGGCCCAGGCACACAGGCACTCAAGCACACCACCACAACCACCACAGCCACCACTTTCACACCCACGCACACACAAGCCGTTCCTTCCCTGCGTGCAGTGTTAGCCATGGATTCGCCGCGGGTGACGGTACTGGACATCCGGTACCCCACGCTCCCCGTGGCCGAGCTGCAGCGGCACCAGGCGGGGGTCAACGCCATCTGCTGGGCCCCCCACAGCGCCACCCACCTGTGCTCCGCGGGCGACGACAGCCAGGCGCTGATCTGGGACCTGGGCCTGCTGGGCACGCTGGGGCAGCAGCCCGAGGGCGGCCCGCCGGGCGCCGCGGCGGCGGGTGGCGGCCTGGACCCGATCCTGGCCTACAACGCAGGCGCCGAGGTCAACCAGCTGCAGTGGAGCCCCGCCCAGCCGGACTGGGTGGCAATCTGCTTCGGCAACAAGACCCAGCTGCTGCGGGTGTGAGGCGCGTGCCGACAGAGCACCACACCGCCGCGCTGCTCGCCGGCTGCAGCGTTGCTCGCCGCTCCCCTCCAGGGCAGCGCGGCGCCCGCGCCGTTCCTGCTTCCCAAGCTGCCAGCCTTCTTGCGTCCCTTATTCGCCTGCTCCCCCTGTCTTGCTTCCGCTCCTGCTGTACTGCCCCCCGCCCGCATCTGTATCACCCGGGTGCCTTTTCTTCACTGCACACGTACCACCGCATCTGTGGCACCCTGCCCCTCCCTAATGCACGGCCCTCTGGCACGCTGCCAGCCCCTCTAATGCATGGGCCCTGCCATTCACACCAATCGCATCAACCGTACATCTGTCCCCCTGCACTGCTCTTTGTCACCATTCCACCTGATGCTCTCTCCTCTCCCAACCCAACTGATCCCCCCGTCGCATCCATACCGATTTCGAGAGACACCTTGCAATGAAACACGCAGCGCAAAACCGGCTGGAAAGGCGCTGGTAGGGCAAGGGGCGCGGGGCAGCGGCATGCTGGGTGTGGTGTGGGAATGCATGCGGCCGGGCTGAGCTCCCGCGCCGGGCAAGGAGAAAGGGGCAGGGGAGGCAATACGAGAGCGGCAGCAAGAGGAAAGGCTAAATACCAGACAAGGGCGGCACTTTGGCGACGGTTTCATCCACGCCCATGGCCAGCCGACAGCCCGATCACAGCACCACTCGGAAAGGGGCCTCGTCCATCGCGGCCGCGTACATTTCGTCGAGGGAGGCAGGGAAGAGCGCATCCGCGTGGCCCGCTCCCAGCAGCGCCAGCTCCGCCAGCTGGCCGATGGCGCGCTGCAGCTCGGCGTCGTCAGCCTCGGCTGGCGCGCCTGCAGGAAGGGCGGGCAGGAAGGTGAGCGGGGACACGGGGAGGCTGTCGGGGCCTGGCGCTCAGCCCAGAGAGCGGGCAGTCGATGCCGCCACAAACCCAAAGCTGCACGCAATGCTGCATTTGCTACATGTGCTGACCAGCACAGTGCGAGCAAAGGCCCCACCGCTCCACCCTGCTCGCCTTCTTCCCCTTGCGGCAGCTCCGGCAGCGCGCCCGCAGCGGCGCCCACATCCACCCGGAAGCGCTGGCGCAGCGAGTCGGCGCCGGCGCCGCGGTACGCCCCTTGAGAGAAGCAGTACCTGCAGTGCCGTACCAGCAGAATCCATGCCGTTGAGGCCCGACTCGCGAGCGCGTGCAAAACAGCATCAAAGTGGCAGCCAGGGACCCGGCCAATCAAGGCTGCCATACATGCGCCTCCCCACCGCCTGGCGACCCACACCTGAGCAGCTCCCTCCAGCTGGCATCCTCCAGCAGCACCGCGGGGTGCCCCACCACCACCAGCAGCGCCTTGGCCCGGGTGATGGCCACCTGCACAGGGGGAGGCGGGACCCACCGGGGGGTGGGTGAGGGGCACGTCACAATTGGCGCCAACTGTCAGAAGCATAGTCCCTGGAAGTGCAAGGAGCAGCAGGAATGCCATGGCAGGGTTCAAGCAGGAACAAGGATGCGAGAGCCGTAAACCGCCTCACATTGAAGCGCTTGGGGTTGCGCCAGAAGCCCAGGTGCACGTCGCCTCCGGCGGCTGCCGCCGCGCCAGGAGCGGCGGACGTGGTGCCAGAAGCGGGCGGCAGGGATTCGGGCTTGCTCAGCACTGCAGGCGCCGGGGCGGGCATGGGCAGGCATGGGGAGACGTGGGGAGGTCAGGGAGGGGCAGCAACAGGGGAGCGCCGCGCCAGCCTGGGCGGCGCCTGGCCTCTCAGGCACAGCTGGGGCGGACTTCCTCCAGCGAGCAATCGCACACACAGCGAACAGCATGTGCAGCGTTCTCCTCCTCCCCTCCTTCTCCCTCCTGAAGGGATGCCTGGGCTGCTCAGCCACCTGTGGAGATGAAGACCACCCGCTCCTCCTGGCCCTGATAGTCATCCACCGTGCCCACGCGTACAGCCCCCAGCCCGTGGGAGCGAAGCAGCAGCCGGATCTTCTGGACCTGAAGCTCGGGAGGCAGGCAGGGAGGGAGGGAGGGTGGAGGGCGGCAGGGGCAGCGGGAGGAGGTGGGTGGATGGGGGGAGGCAGGAAGGGAGACCAGGCAGGCGGGCACTGCAGGCGGCCAATGCCCAATGCCACAGCCGGGGCAGGTGGGCAGGTGGCAGCGATCCACAGGCGCCACAGGCACGTAGGCGCACACAGCACGTAGGCGCACAGTGCAGGTAGGCAGGCAGGCAGGCAGGCAGGCCCCCCACCTGCTTGCGGTACGTGGCCATCACGCCGATGTGGTCAGGCAGCACCCCCGCGCCGCTGCCCAGCAGCCCGCTGACCAGCTGCACAACGGTGGAGGCCTGTGGTGGGGAGGGGCGTGAGGGAGAAAGAAGTGAGGGCGGCAGGCAGTGCGAGTGAGCTGTGGGAGCGGGAAACGCATCAGCTTGCTTGCAGGCGAGGCGGCCTTGAGCAGCAGCATTGCCACGTGGCGAGCAGTGAGGCGGTGGCACCCAGTGAGGCAGTGGGGAGGCTGACAGGGCTGCGGGAATGAATGTGCATTGAAGGAACAGAGCCACACCTCAAGGGGGTTGAAGTAGCTGGGGGCATCCCCCTCCCGCATCTGCTGCCCCCGCACGCCGTAGAAGAGCAGGCTGGCAACGGCGGCCTCCGCAGGCCCCTCCCCCTCCTCCTCCTCCTCCTCCTTGTCTGCTGCAGCCTGGTACTGCCCTTCATCATACTGTGCTGCGGTCCCCTCCTCTTCCTCCTCCTCCTGCGCCGCCTGATCTTCCGAGGCCTTTGTGTTCCCTGCCGCCGCCGCCGCCTCGTCCTCGTGCGCCTGCTGCCCCTGCTCCCCAGCCTGCTGCTCTGCCCCTTCAGCGGGACCGCCTGAGCCGGCCTCGCTGCCCCGCCAGGCGCCCTCCTCTGGCTCCAGCTCTCGCCAGCGAGGCGGCAGCACTGCAGGCAGCAGACTCCGGAGTGACCCCACCAGGCACGCTTTGACCATCGATGGTCAGCAGGGATATCCCTGCTGTAGCGCTTCCCAGCGGCACTGGGTGCCTCCCCCTAGCTCCAGCAGCAGAGCTGCACAGGGAGGTGAGCACCACATGCAGGCGCAGCCCAGGCGCACCTGAGCGCGGGTCGGCCGCGGCTTGCAGCTGCGCGGCATAGAACAGCTTGCTGGGAAGGTCCAACAGGCGGCGGTGGGAGCGGTAGTTGCGAACGAGCATGCTGGTGGCCGGCACGCGGCCCTGCGGCAAGGCAGGAGGGCGGGCACAGCTTAGGCACACTCAGGCAGAAAGCAGGAGGTTGAGAAGAGCAAACATATGGTGTCAGCAACAGGGCAGCTGGCACGGGACAGACCGGGACAGAGCGGGGCCCGGCAACCGCATGCAGAGGCTGCCTCAGCGTGGCACGGCAGCGGCGCCAAGGGCCACCCACCAACTTCATCACGTCATAGGCGGCAGCTGAGTGGTGGCCGATGCAGATCTCCAGCAGGCTGGTGGCCAGCCCCGCGCCAGCCGCCATCTGCGGGCAGCCGGGGCACCATCTCGGCAGGGCACGCTTGCATTGGCCATGCCCGGCCCCTTAAACCATCTCCGTTTCATATACAGATCCCACTTTCAGGACGCCGGATGGCTCTCCAGATGTGCCAGGCAGCTGCCACGAAGCTAGGTTCCCACCTGGGAGCGCACTACAGGGCCAAGCTGGCGAGGGTCACCGCACAGCACAGCGCCCCACCCCGCGCCAGCCTCGCCGCCAGCCGTGCGCGGCTTCAGCAGCGACAAAGGGATGAGCGCCTCCGGCAGCAGCGCCTGCAGCCGCGGAAGGGTTGGTTAGAATAATTCCTGTAATTAGCTTAGGTGTGAGGTGTGCAGTCTTTCCCAGCATGAGTGCTACTTGGGGTGTCGCCGCCACCACACACACCACACAACCTTAACCCATGAATGCGCTTGCCTGGCCGGCCTCGTCAATCAAGATGTGTGAAAAGGTGGCCTGCCGCGGCTGGACCTGGAGGCCGAATGCTGTAGCCTGACCGCCAGGCTCCTGGAGCAGAGCTGCAGGTACACACATGCCGCAACAGGCACGGGGAGCGGAGTGGGACTCAGCAGGGGGGGCCCAAGCCGGGCTGCACACCGCGGCGCCCACACTGCACATCAAGCCCATGACAGGGCCGCTCGCGCCATGGCAGCCTGCCGGCAGCCGCCAGGCTGGGTGCTGCAACACCATGCACGCCAGCAGGCAGGCTCCTCTGTGACGACGTGCCTGCCGCGCCGCATGTGGCCACAACCACTCGCCGTGCCTCCACGTCGTAAGGCACGGTGAACATGCGGGAGGCCTCGCTGTACTGGCAGAATGCCAGGACGTCCTCTTTCACCTGCAGGGAGGAGCACAGCAGGGTGAGTGGTTTGCACCAAAATTTGGTACAGAGCGCATGCAGGTGGCTTGCAAAGGGGGCCTATAAGAAGGTGGCTAAGGGCAAGCATGCCACCCCGCCAGCTTGGAAACGCACCGTGAAAGGCGGCCTGCGCGGGTCGTTCACCCGCAGCATGTCTCCCTGGTGCAGGCCCGCCGCGGCCAGTGCGCTGCACAGGAGATCTGCTGAGTAGTTCTGCAATGCAGAAAGTGGCAGATGTAAGACAGCAGTAAGTAACCAAGCTGCATAGATGACGCAGAAGGGCCTGGGGCGGTGGGCGGAAACCAGTTGGGGGCCGGTAGTGGCGATGGTGGCAGCGTTTGCTGCCGCCCACTGCAGCCACAACCTTGCCTGGGGGGCGCAGACCAGCAGGCGGGCGTCAGGGTAAGCCCTCAGCAGCTGCAGAGTGCACTCCACAAGCGTCACCGTCTTGCCGGTACCTGCAGCGATTGGGGGGGCTGGCAGAGGCATGGGTTGCACCAGAAGGCATGGGTTGCACCAGAAGGGAGCGTGACAGGGAGCTTTCGACCCCCTTGCACAGCGTCACTGCAGAGCACATTCAAGCAAGCCATGGAGCAGGGTGCGGCAGCGCAAGTGCCTGCCGCACCTGGCGGGCCGAAGAGAGAGTAAGGATGCGCCCGCCCTGCGCCACACAGAACCGCGGCGATGGCCTGCCGCTGCTCCGCGTTCAGCGCCTGCCCGCCGCACTCCTGCAAGCCCGCCACTGTGGCAGCCACCTCGTCTGCGGTGGGCTGCAGCAGGAGCCGGTCCTGCCGGTCCTGCTGCTCCTGAGCGGCGCGCGCCGCCTCCCGGCCGCTGGCGCCAGCGCCTGCCTGCGGCTGCGGCTGGGCGTCGCCAGGCGGGATCCAGCACGCGTGCTGCCGCTCCACCACGTCGCACAGAGCGCGCTGCATGCGGCGGAAGGACAGCCGGTCAAAGCTGAGCCGCACATGCACCAGGCCGTCAAACAGCCCCGACAGCCCAAAGGTGACCGTAGTCCGCAGCTGCGGCACCTGCGGCCAGGCGGAGGGAGGCATGGGGGCATGTAAGTGCAAGGCATGTGATTCTCTGCAGTAGTATGCCACATGCAGGTGTGTTGGATACTAGCAGTAACTAGTTGGACATCACATTCCCACCACGCGGCCTTGCCCGGCCTGCAGGCGGCAGCCCGTTCCGGGCAGCCCCGCCCGTGCATGCCGCCACCCACCAGCGGCGCCACATCCGGAAGCGCCCAGAAGGCTGCCGGCAGCAGCAGGAAGCAGGTGGAGCCCTCGGTGGCGGCCACCAGGCAGGCGATCTCGCGCTGCGGGTAGTGCGCGGTGCGCAGGTAAACTGCAGGGGAGCAGGCACGCAGTGGACCCAAGCTGACGGCCTCGCCTGGCAGCTGGCTCTCCACTGCTGTAGGAGAACGCCTCGGTACAGCATGCTGCCCCTGCGCTGGCCACTCGCACCTGTGTCGTTCAGGTGAAGGGAGGGGCGGCCTTCCGGCAGCCCGGGCACGTCGAGCACGCCCAGCACATACTCGGAGTGCGCTCCCCTCACGCCGCCAGGCTGCAGCAGCTCCAAGGAGGGGCCCCTGTACAGGCTGCTGGGGCGCCGCTGGTCCGGCTTCGGTTCGACGGCGGCACCGCTGGCACCTGTCGGCGCCAGGCTGACCATGTGGTACCGATTGGTGCTGCCTGAAAACACCGCCAGGCGCAGGCGCACGTGCCACATGTCGCACCTGCGGCGGTGGCAGCGCCGAGCCAGCAGGCGCGGCATCATGCAGGGAGCATGAGCCAAGCAGCAGCAGCCGTGACCTGGCAGGCCACTGGGGATGTGCAGGAGCAGCAGTACCGCGTACAATCAGGTGAAGGGGGCAAAGGCAGTACCACCCCACCTGCAGATGTCCTGCTCCAGACACCCCTCCTCCACCGACAGCAGCCTGCTGCACCGCTGCAGCAGCGGCGGTACCGCCGCCAGCGGCCTGCCCTCCGACAGCTGGCAGGCATGCACCAGCGCCCGCCCCTTCTGCGAGTGGGCCGGCACCAGCTCGGGCATCCTGCCGGGGGCGTCGCAGCGGCCGCAGGCCAGCATGCGCCTCGCCGAGATGGGCAGCTCGCCCAGGAACGCGGGAGGGTGGGGTCCGGGAGGTTCATCAAACAGCCGCTTGAGGTGGTCTGCTGGGAGCGCAGGGGGAGCAAACACAGGTCGTTGGAGGCTTATGCATTTCTCGCTGCAGTGCATGTGTGCTGAGAATGATGGGAGGGCTCGCCTGCGATGAAGGGCCGGGCATCAGCATCCAGCATCTGAGCCAGCTCAGCAGGCCGATCGATCAGAGCCACCGTGACGTGCCGCGCCACGGCAAACAGGCGGAAGGTCGGCGCGCACGGCGGCGCCACGTCAGCGGCACCCGTCTCTCCAGCCACCCCAGCCGCCGCATGCTCTCCTGCCTCTGCTGCCGACACATCTGCCACAGGCGCTCCTGGGATGCAGGCCAGCGCCTGGGCGGTGCGGCTGTGCAGGGGCGTGGCAAACACGAGCAGCAGCAGCTGCTGCAGGATGCCCTTCTCCTGCCGCCGAGCGGCGCAGTCTGCAGAGCTGAGCGCGACGCTGATGGTGTGCTGCTGCTGGGGGTCCAGCCGCACGGCCTTGTGCCCTGCACACAGCAGCCACAAGGGGCCAGCTACGGCATGGTGCAGGAGGCCGCCTAGTGCCCGAGGTTTCAGACCGGCACAGCAAGCAAGCAGGCATGCCCCCAAGCCACCAGCCTGCTGCCTCTGCTGACCAGCGGCGGCCTCACCGTCCAGCCAAAACAGGCGGGCATCGTCGATGGCAGCCAGAGTGTAGGGGAAGGAGGGCGCGGCGATGCCGCCCAGCAGCCACACCTCCTCGCTGCTGCCGGTGTTCTCCACAACCAGCTGCCTGAAGTGCAGCACCGGGGCGGTGCTGCTGCTGCTGCCATTGCCGCCAGCGCCGCCTGCGCGAGCGAGGCCCGCCCCAGCCGAGGCGGGCCGGCCAGCGGAAGGCGCACTGAGGTGCAGTAGGTCCAGCAGGCTGCCTGCTCCAGCCCCTGCCGCCTTTGCTGCCTGCCCAGCAGCCTGCGGCAGCGCCGAGGCGGCGGCTTCCGCGGCCTCCACCAGCGCCCCCGCTGGCAGGCACGATACGCAGACGGTCCCGAAGTCGATGTCTGGTGACACAGACAGCGGCAGCTGCGCTGTGCCCTGCCGAGCGCTCGGCGCCGCCAGGGCGGTGGCGGTGGGCAGGCTGCCCAGCGCATCCCGCAGCAGCCGCTCCAGCAGCCCGCCGCTCGCCCCGCCGCGGAACAGCGGGCGCAGGCGCTCAGGCAGGTCCAGCACGCTGCCGCGCACCGCGGGGGGCGGCGGCGGCGGCAGCGCCGCCCCGTTGCCGTCTCCTCCCGCGGCCGGCAGCTCGGGAGCCGCGATGCCTGGCTCCAAAGCCAGCTTGAGAGCCTGCGCCTCCACCGCGGCAACACCATGCGCCACCGTCCACAGCGGTATGTGCTTGGAAATCTTCTCGTCGGTGGCTGCCACTAGCGGGCGCTCCTGCTCAAGGCGGGGCAGCCAGCAGCAGGTTTCAGGCAGGGCTGGCGCGCAGCATGTGACAGCAGAGCACGCCATGCAGGTGGCACAGGACCCAAAGCCCTGGACCACCAAGCTGGTGGTAGCAGCGAAGCCATGGCACGCAGCTGCCGCTCACCTCCGCTCCGCACACAAACAGGCACACCTCTTGGCTGGCCAGCCTTGCATGCTGCTCCCGGCGTCAAGAAGCAGCAGCGGCGGCGGCAGCAGCAGCAGCAGCAGCAGCAGCGGCGCTCACCACAGGGGCCAGCACGTCGGTGCCGGCCAGGAAGCGGCGGCAGAGGTCAGCGAGCAGCGGCGCGGCCGCGTCAACCACCTGGCGCGGCGGCGCATAGGTGATTGTGTTGCACACGGCCACGGCGTTGGCGATTGGAATCTCTAGGGGGTCCAGCACGCTGCCGCCGCCATGCCGCAACAAATCTGTAGGCCGGGGTCGCATTGCGCGTGTGTTTGCGGCATGGTGTTCATGGCAGGCTAAGGGCAGGGCTCAAGTGGGAGAGCGGCCGGCGGATGGCAGCAGCCGGCAAGCGCATGCAGCGCCTGCCGCCTGGCGGGCTGCCTGCTCCCACCTGCGTCTGCGTCATGGGCAAAGCTGGCCACCAGGCGGTGGAACAGCCACCCCAGCAGCTCCTCTGCAGCAGGAAAGCCAGGGAAGATCTTTAGGTAAGCATCCGAGTTGCAGAAAGGCACCCAGGCTGGCGGGCAAGCCAACACAGCTGCTCCCATCACTGGCTGGCTTTGCACGCGAGGGAGGGGGAGGGGGGCCCACCTGGCAGCTTGGGGAAGAGATGGGTGAGACGCGCCACGGCCTGCTGGGTGGTCCTGTCCAGGTCCTTCTTGTGCAGCGCCATGCCGTGCGGCATCTTGCTGAAGTCTGGCGCCCGCTGCTTCTTGGGCTGCTTCCTGGCCGCCGCCGGTGGCGGCGGCGGCCCCACGCGAGCACGCTGCGCAGCCGCCGCCGCTGGGGCCGCGGCAGGAGACGGGGTCTGGCGCTGCTGGCTGCCGCCTGCGCCAGCGGCGGTGGCAGCGGGGCCTGTGGGCCGTGCACTGGGCCGCGGCGTGGGTCCTTCTGGCGAGGACCCGCCTGCAGCACGCGGTTGGCAGCGGGCAGATGCGGGTTGGTGAGTAGGAGACAGGGAGGGCCTGCGCATCCTGCATAGCCAAGCGGAGTGCCCAGTTACTGTCCCACCTTGTGCACTCGCAGCCCATGGGTCTGCAGGCAGCTGCTGAGCCTGCAGGCTGCCCTCCGACGCTGGATGCCCGGGCGGGCGGGGCGGGTAGGCAGGGAGGCGCGGGTTGGCACCATGCGTGGGCCACCCCATTGCCACAGGGCAAGGCGCCGCCATCACGAGCGGGGGCATCGGCATGTCTGGTGGAGGGGGCATCGCGAACGGGGGCAGTCCCCAGCCATCGCCAGGAACCCACCCCACCAAGCCGGGAACCCTTGGCGGCGGCGGCGGCGGCGGCGAGAAGGGGGGAGTGCCGCGCTGAGATCCATCGGGCCCACCGCCCTTGGAGGTCTTAGGCATCGCTGGCAGGCATAGGCCAGCGAGAGCAGGCAGTGAGGCCACGGGGAGAGGTGAGAGCCGATCGAGCTGACGCGGGAGGTGGGTTTAGCCTCCCAACCAATCCGACAAATCTGGTTTTGGGGAAATGCGCTTGATTAGCGTCGAACGACGGAAAAGTACACGTCACTCCGCGCAAGCAACCCCTGGCGTCTTGTTTCTCGTGCCAAGCATCAATTGGTCCATTAAACACCTGCCCAAACCAGACAGGCAGGTCAGCGGCAGAGATTCTTGCCGTTCGGCCGGGACTGTCCGCGATGCGGACTTTTGCCTGCTGCGGCATCGCCTCGCGGCGCGTGTCCGAGGTGATGCTGCACGTTGCGAGTGGTTGCCAATGGAGCGCCGCCGGATTGTTGCCTCTCCCGCACAACCAACTGCCCACCGCCCGCCGGCGCCTCGCCAACCGCCTGCCTGCCGGATGCAGGCAGAGGAGCTCGCTGCTGGGCTGTCGCCAGCGCCGCCTGGCAAGCCGCACGTCCCAAGCCCTCCAATCGACGCCTCCGTTGCAAAAATGCGCCGCCAAGCCGGCGGGCCTGCGCCCGAGGGCGAGGCTGGGCGCATCAAGGTGTGTGTGATGGAGCAAACTGCATGTGGGACCCATCCAGCACGGTAGATGCTGCAGCAGGCCACTGCTCCACCTGGAGGCCGTCTTCGTTACACCCGACACGCCCCGCTGCTTTGTGTACCCGCCTGACAGACCCTCCGCCAGCTGCACGCTGTGGACGACCCTGCAGACGAGCGGTTTGCCTCCATTGTGGAGCTTGTGCGCTGCACCTTCCAGGTCGACTGCGCCATGCTGTCGCTCATCGACTCCGACAGTCAATGCTATGTCGCCCAGGCAGGCTTTCAACTGACCGGCAACGACCGCCAGTCTGCCTTTAGTGAGTGAGGCCAGGGCTGGGGACGTTCGTGGAACGTGCGTGGTGGGTTGGACGGGCATGATGCTTCTGCTCCTCCAATGCCTGTCTGCCTGCCTGCCTGCCCAACCTGCCGCACACTGTGGCCGTCATTATGCGTTGCAGGCGCCTGGGCGCTGGCGGCGGATCACCCGGTGGTGCTGGTGGTGGAGAATGCGTTGGAGGATGCCAGGTAGGAGCACGGTAGTGCACTGCTGAGCTGCTGGCCTCCCATCAGGATGACACCCCTCTCGCATAGCCAGCATGTCTCCAGGCGATGGCTGCCCAACCGATGACGCATGATGTGTCTTGCACGGTGGCTCACTGAGCCGTGCAGGTTCCGGGCCAACCCCCGGGTTGTGGGCCCGCCCCACGTGCGCTTCTACGCCTGCGTGCCGCTGGTGGGCACCGACGCGGCGATCCACGGCGTGCTGGCCATCGCCGACTGCAAGCCGCGCCGCTTTGCCACCGAGCAGCTCGCCATCCTTACCAACTTTACGGAGCTGTGCATGAGGAAGCTGGAAGAGCTACGCACGGAGGAGCCGCGGGAAACGGCGGCGGCGGCTGTGATGGGACAGGGTAGCACACAGCTGCTGCAAGAGTGAGCGGGTGGCCGCTGCCGCGGGCGGGCAGCGTGCTGGAGGGTTGCATGCAGCGGAAACTGGGGCAGATGGCAGCCGGCCAGAGGTTGCCTTCCATCTAGTTGCTCCTCATACCCTCCGTGATGCCAACCCTTCATAAATGGCGGCTGCGGTTGGCTGCAGCCTTGCGCAGATGCAGGAGGCGGTCCTGCTCTGCAACCTGGCCACAGATGCCTGGGTGCTCGCCTGGGCCAACCCCCAGTTTGCCGCACTCACGGGTGAGCAGCAGCCGGCACCCCCAGCGGTGGAGTGAGTGCATGCGACCAAGCGCTTGCCAGTGCCCATGCCTAGGTACATCATGCGCCTGTAGAGCTGCTGTGGAGCAAAGCCTTCTTGGCCACCCACAGCTGTACCTAGTTCCGGCCACTCGGTGGCCGTGCCTGCTCCCCGGCAGGTGTCCAGGCTGAGGCTGCTCGCGGGGCCAGCATCTGGTCTCTGTTCCGTGTGGTGGGGGACCAGGTGGGGGCCTGCCGCCCAGCTATGCAACGGGGCAACTGCATGGCATGCAGTACTCCTCACCTCCTCCGCCGCCTCTGCGCCGTCATAGGCATTCTTTGTGAGGCTGTGGCGCCCCTGCGTGCTGCTGGCGGGTGCAGGAGGAGGTGCTGGACGAGTGCAACGCCTCCATCTTCCTGAAGGAGGCCTTCTCGGTGGCAGTGGAGCTGGCGGCGCAGGGAAACAGCAGGCACAGCACGACCACGCTTCCAGGAGGGGCCGCTGCCGACGCCGCCAGCAGGCAGCTGGTCCTGCGCTTCAGGCAAGTCGGTTGCTGCACCGCTCCTCTTTTACGATGCCTGCTTGCCATGGCAGCCCATTCAAGATGGTGCCTGGCGTCAAGCTTCGTGCTGACGAAAGCAAGCCTGCTGACCCGCTCCCTCCACTTGCCGCCCGCAGCCCAGCCACCCACGGCCTCCAGTCCTCGGGCATCCCTGCCGTTGGCATTCCCGGCTTCGTGGCGTCCCTGGTTGCGGGCATGCCGCACGAGCAGCTGGACGTTGCCGACTTCTATTTTGCCAGGGTGCTGCCCGCCAGCTCCGCACAGCTGTCGCCAGCTGGCGCCAGCAGCCGAGGCGCAGCCTCTGCCGTGAGCAAGGCTCTGGCGGCGGCGGCAGAAGCAGCAGAACCCCCTTGCCCCAGTGCCCCGCGCTGCATTGATGCTGGGCGCCTCAGCGGCATGTCGGATGCCAGCAGCATCGGCTTCTCCTCTGCATCCCATGGCGGTAGGCCGCGCAGCCCTCGCTGGCGCCTCTCCTTCTGCGCCTCTTCCGCCGCTATGTCTGCTGCACTTCTGGCCGACAGAGCGCGTGCCTCCCACCAAGATATCAATCCCGCTAATATCCTCCCGCATGCCATGCCGCCCTGATCTCCCATCTCCCACCTGCAGGCGCCAGCTCAGCGGTGAGCAAGCCGCCGTCTATTCTGGTGTCCAAGCACCTGATCAACAGGCAGCAGGTGTTTGACCAGGTCCAGCTGGGGCCCCTGCTGGGCTCGGGCTCATATGGGCGCGTGTACCGAGGCACCTGGAGGGGAGCCCAAGTGGCTGTCAAGGCGCGTCGCCGCTGTGGCCCTGCCTGGTGAACCGGGCTTTGACCCCTCATCTCGTCCCGCCACTGCATGACGTCGCTTGTGTGCCTCTCTCGCCACCCGTCCCAAGCACTGCTACACCTGCCGTCGATTTGGTGCCCGAGCAATGAGCAATGGCTGCCCTGCTGCCGGCGGGCTGCAGATAAGCGACTACTACTGCACGCCGCTGGGGGATGGGCTGGAGGTCGCGGCTGGCAAGCACTCGGCGCTGCTGGAGGTGAGCTGCAGTGGTGGCAGCTAGTCAGCGGCAACGACGGCCCCGGCATCATGCCTGGCAGCTTGCAGTGCAAGCTTGGCATAGGTGCTGCATACGCAGGCGCGGCCCCGCCCCCTGCCCCCTGCAGGCGCTGCTTGGGCAGGAGTGCACGCAGCACCCGTGCCTGGTGCAGACCTATGATTGGGGGCTGCGCCCGCTGGACCAGCCCGACCCCGCCAACCCTGGCGCCCCTGTGCGGCACACGCTGTGGGTGGTGCTCCAGCTTTGCAACCGGGGCTCGCTGTACGATGCGGTGCTGAAGGGCCGCTTCCGCCTGGTGCCCTCAGATGAGCACAGCGGGCCCAGCATGCTGGCCATCCTGCAGACGGCCCACGAGATTGCTGGTGCGCCTGTGTTTTCTCACCCCCGCCGCCGCCGGGACCTCGGCAGCGCCGCACGCATGGCGCCTGCGCTGCCGCACTTGTCACGGACAGACTGCTTTACGTGTCGGTCACTCTCCCCGCCTCGGCTGCTGGCACTGCTGCCTCCGACCGTTTGTCTGCAGGCGGCATGACCCTGCTGCACGATGCCGGCATGATCCATGGCGACCTGTCGGCCAACAACGTCCTGCTGACCGCGGCCGCCAACCGCCGCCGCTTCACGGTCGCCGTCTCCGACTTTGGGCTCAGCCGCATCTCGGTCGACGCTGATGGGCATATGACGGCCACTGTGGGCACGGTGGGTGGGCTGCAGAAGGGGAGCCGTGGGCATGGTGCATGGGCTGCAGGGCAGCAAGACAAGGGAAGAGCATTAGCCGCTGGCATTTTCTGTTGTGAAGCCAGTGGCGCTGCAACGCCCTGCAGGTCACACACCAGCCGCCCGAGCTGCTGCGGGAGGGCCACCTGACCTGGGCTGCAGATGTCTACGCCTTTGGTGTGCTGCTGTGGTCGGTGAGCACCGGCGGGCTGGCCCCGCTGCTGTGTGCAGTGGACAGCCTTGCCACCCGAGTTGTAATTCCTGTCGGACACCGCCTGCCTGCCTGCCAGCCAGCCTGCCTGCCTGCCTGCCTGCCGGCTGCGCTTGATCTGCTTGCAGCCGGTGAGTTGAAGGCTGTCTGGCATCACTGTTCACTGCAGCTGTACATGGGAGCACACCCCTACAGCGGGGAGCATTCCTTCATGGTCATTCACAAGGTTGTGAGCGGGACGCGCTGCCCGCTGGAGCTTCCAGATGATGCCCCAGACAGCTTCAAGGCAAGCCCAGGGCCAGGGGCGGGGCCGCGGGACTGCTGTGGGATGTCCAATGCAGCCCCCAGGGGCTGGAACCGTCATGGTAGCTGGAAGAAGTGGTGGGTAGCAGGCCCACCACCTGTGCAAACTGTTGGTGGTGCCCTGACCAGGGTGCTCTCGCCCCAGAGAGGGTCAGCCACCCTGGCGTCTGCAGACCGGCCACATGCTGGCTGCCGGCTGCAGGGCCTGTTTGAGCGCTGCGTCAGCTACGAGCGGCAGGCGCGCCCCACATTTCAAGAGGTGCTCGACGTTCTTGCGCCGCTGGTAGACGCCGAGGAGCTGGCCGCGCCGCCGCTGCCGCTCTCGCCCAGCGCCTCGCCCACCAAGCAGCTGTGCCCCCGATCCACCTCCTTCCGCACGTGACCGACAGATCAGGGAGAGACGGATGCCGGGAGTGGTAGAGAAGATGAAGGAGGCTACCTGGCGCCCGGCAAAGGCCGTTGGCGGCGCTGTGCCCGCCACGCCATGACCAATCAGCCAAGCAGCCTGTGCAAGTTGTATCGGAACTTCTTCTGCTAGCTTAATTGCACTGTAGGGATTTGGTGAGTCGCCTCGTTGAACTGTGAGGAGGAACAGGCGGGCAGCGCGCGCCATGCTGCATGCTGGCTGGCGCTGCAGCCGTGTGTGCCCTCCTCCCCGGGCCCCTGGGAACCAGCACAGCCGAAGCGGAAGGCGGCCGCGGGTGGTTTGTGGGGCGCGACCAGACGCGCCATTCGACTCGCTTGAGCAGGCAATTCGGGTGCGAGCTCGGCCATGCGCCCAGCCCATAGTCTCGGGCATCAGGCGGGGAATGGGTTGAGCGCACTGAGGTTAACAACCTCACATGGCCGCCGGCGCCGCCAGCGGGCGAGCGCCTTCACCTCCAGGCACACTCCCCGTTGACGCGCACCTGCTGTAATGTATGCATGTGGCGTGCAGGTTGTGAACCGGGTGATTGCCCTCGGCGAGCGCGCCAAGTGGGGTGCGGACGAAGATGGCAGCAGCAACGAAGTGCCTACCGCCGCCGCCACTTCAGCCGCCACCGCTGAGCGCTGGCTGCAGTTTGGCGCCGTGTACAGCTCCCGCGTCCCCGTGGACCAGGCGCTGGGAACAAGCTCCAGCAGCTCCACGCCAAGCAGCCCTCTCAGCAGCAGCGGCGGCAGCAGCAGCAGCAGCGATTTAGCGGCCAGCGGCAGCCCCTCGAGCACCAGCAACCGCGCCAGCTGTACCAGCGGCGGCAGGCTTCTGCAGGACTATCTGGCCCTGCCTGTTGACCATTACTCGCTGCTCGACCCAAAGTGGATCTCCAGGTGCGAACAATGCTCTTGGAGGACTGTCCCGAGCCAGTACCTTGGATCATATAGCCGTCGCTCGGCCTGCGCCATGACCGCTGGGTAACCAAGCGGCTGCGCCCGCCTCCCCCCCCACGCCGGAGCTTGGTGCAGGGAGGAGGGCGGGCAGTTCCGCTTCAGCCTGCCGCTGCAGGACTTGATAAACGTGGAGCTGCAGCCAGAGATCTTCATCAGGTGGGTTTGCTGCGTTGGTCGAAGGGCTGCTGGGTCAGCAAACGGTACATTGGCACAGAGGCCTAGCTGTGCTTCTTGGCTTGCACGGCAGCCTCATGTGCCTGCTACCCCCTGCGGCCACCCCGCTGCAGTGTGCTGCCAGAGCCGCAGCGGCGGCGGGTTACCCTGGTGGGCACAAGGGCGGCGCTGGGATCTCCAGAAATAGACGAGGTGGGGGACCCGCAATGCCTGCGGGGGTCGGGCGCAGGAGCTGTGCCCAGCGGAGGTGCAGCAGCATTGCATTTCGACCGCCTGCCTCCGCAGCGGCTCCCCAACACCCCGCGCCCTGCACCCCAGGTTGTCTCGATTCTGAGCGCCTTTGTTGGTTGCCCCTTGCTGTGCTGCGCCATGTCCGCAGGCCTTCAAGCTGAATGTGACGGCTGTGATCAGCCAGCGGCAGCGCTGCCGCCTGCCCGCCCTGCCCCGCGCTCCAGACCATCTGCCTGGCCGCCCCGTGTTCCGGCTGCGCCGCTGGGCGGCTGCTGCGCGCGGCAGGACGTGGCCGCCCGCGCAGGCGCCAGCCGGCACTGTGGGAGGAGAGGCGGCGGCGGCAGCGGCGGTCAAGGTTGCGGCAGGCAGTGCCCCATCCAGTATCGCAAACCATCACGGGCAGCAGGGGCAGCAGCAGGGCAGCAGCAATGGCGCAAACAACGGCAGCAGCAGCGTCGCGGGCAGCAGCAGTGTGGGGCTGGAGGTGGCTGCAGCGGCAGGCGGCATAGAGGTGCGGGATGGCGAGGCCGCCGTGGCGGCTGCTGCTGCTGCGGCGGCTGGTTCCGCGCCCTTTCCAGGCCAGCACGTCTACATCAGCCACGACTCAAACGACGACGATGAGTACCTGGATGCTGACCTGGCGGCTGCTGACCTGGCGATCGCTGAGCTGGAGGTGGCTGGGCTGGACGATGGGGAGGAGACTGTGGGCACCGGCGACTCGCCTGCCCCGCTTCCAGCGCCCGCAGGCATCGGGTTCAGCAGCGGCAGCGGCCCTGGCGGCGGCGGCAGCTTTGCGCCAGCAGCCGAGCCGGATGCCGGCCACGCCGCCGGCGGCAGGCCAATCCAGGCGCAGCCGGCGCTGCTGCACTGCCGCACGCACGTCACCATGGCGGTGCGGGTGCCCAGGGCGCTCAGAGTCGTGCCAAACGCGCTGCTGGGCTATGCAGGTGGGTGCCGCGCTCGCTGCCCTGCTGCGGCACTGTCCCCCTGTCGCACGCCGTCTGCCTGTTGACCCGTGTGCACGCGCCTCGTCCCCAGGAAGCTGGTGCTGAGCCGACCTGCCTTGCGTGTGGCGCACTGCAGGCAGCCTGCTGCTGCGCGCGGTGCTGACCGCCACGCTCCCAAACTTTCTGGACCTTCTAGCTGCCGACTACCGGCGGTGGGCAGGCATCCCAGCGCCCGGCAGCAGCAGCGGGGACGGTGGTGGCAGCGGAGGGCCTGGAGGCAGGCAGCTGGATGCCCCGGTGGGGGAGCTCTTTGCCGACGCGGCGGCGACGGTGCAGGAGGGGCGCGAGCGGCGTCGCCACGAGCACGAGCAGGAGGAGGCGGCGGCGCCCCAGGAGGCAGCTGCATGATGCGGGTGTGTGTATGTGTACCCCTGTATATGTACCACTGTCTGCCCTCTCCTCTTCAACCAGCTACTACGTTTCTGGGTGAGGCGACCCCACAGGCGCTGCTTGTTGGCGGTGCGGAGGGGCAGCAGCGCGCCGGCGGCGCCGCCTACTCCGCTCTTGTTTCAGCATCGGGGCACGTCTTGGGAATGAGTGGTCCCCAATTGCAGAAAGAATTTGCTGCAGTTATCAATACCTGCACTTTGGAGGGGTGCTGGAGGGTGCACTTTGGCTGGAGGGGTTTGCCACGTCGGAGCGCAAAATCGGTAGCACCTTGTCTTGCATGTGCAGCCCGTGGCCCTTGTTGGTCGACTAGGACTTGGAGGCAGTGAGGGCCTGGCTTCGGTCCCCTCCCCCGCGTCCCGCGTCCAACTCCCACGGGGCAGTGCTCTGCTCCGTGGAATTGGGCATTGTGTGAGGGCATTGTGTGGGGGCCTGTGGGCCGGCAGCCGGGGCATGGGCGTCGCCAGCTCCAGCTTCCTTCTGCTGCTCGCGGCGCTAGCAGCGGTGCTCGCCCAGGCCCAGGCCCAGGAAGCAGGCAGGCAAGGAGCTAGGAGGCCAGCCATGGCCGCCTGCTGCACCTGGCTAAGCCCGCCCCTGGTGCTGGGGGTACTGAGGCGGCAGCTGCCGCCGCTCACCCAGCTGTGGTGTGCCTGCGCACCCTGCCACCCTGCACCCGCAGGCGTGGCCTCAAAGCTGATGGCGGCGTGCAGGCAGCCATCGCTGGCGGGCGGGATGCGGACGCACCTGCTCGGTGGGCATGCAGCAGCTTGCGGCGGGGGGACGCGGAGCATGCATGCTAGAGTGGGCGGCGCCGCCGGCAGCCTCTCGCAAGGTCCCTTCAGCCCACTGTGTTGTGCATGCTGCCGCCCGGCACATGCAGGTACCCCTGGATGGTGCAAATCCGGTCTTCTAGAGCCGCTGGCTTCACCGGCCAGTCGGCGAACGCATGTGAGTCGCCGGCTTTGGGACGGGGGGGACCATGCATCGAGGGTGTGTGCCGCACGTGAGCTTCAGCCCAGCAGCCGTCATGCCTGGGCCCGGTGGAGGCTACGGCCATACCCTCAGGTCCCTACCAGTTGAAGTACACTGAGCAAGCAATCCCCTCCTGCCGCCGCCGCGTTCTTGCTGCAGATTGCGGGGGCAGGTAGGCAGGGCGTGGGGGCAGCCGCCGGGGCCGCAGGCTTGCTGGCAGCACACACGCGGCCGGCGCATCTGCAGCCACGCGCGTTTGCGGGCCTCATTATTTCTGTTGCCTCCCCGTGCCTGCAGCCTGATCGATGAGACGGGGGTTGTGCTGACTGCCGCTCACGTGGGTGGCTGCTGCATGTTGCTGCACTGTGCAGGCTCGCCGCCGCCATGCACGATTAACACCCCGACTGTCAGCCTGCGGGCCGCCCACGGTGCTGCCCTGCCTGCCTCCCACCCCGCAGTGCTTCTACAAAACTGGGCAGCAATTAGGTTGGAAGGTCGCGTCCAAGGCCCTCCCGCTGGTGCGTAGCAGCAGGCGCAGCGCCGGCAGGCACCTGTGCCCCTCCATTACCGCTCCCCTCCCCACCCGCTTGCCCGCCGGCGCACCGTTTGCTGTCCCACCGACCGCTGAGAGGCTGTGCGGAAACCGCCGTCTTCCCCTTGTCCTGTGCAGCTGCGGTTTGGGGCGTACCTCAAGGATGAGCCAGAGGAGGATCAGGGCGGGGTCAGGACGTACCAGGCGGTGTCGGCCATCGTGCACGAGTCGTTCACAGTTGATGACAACTTTGACATTGCCCTGGTGTTGGTGGAAACGGCGCTGACGGGCAGGAAGACCATCCGCCTGCCGGCAGGTGCGGCATTTCTTTTTCTTCTTCCTGGTCCCCCCCCCCCCCCTTTTTCACTGCGGATGCGGGCTGCCGCCTGAGCCTCATGCATGCCTTTGGCTTGGCCCTCCCTGCTGCTGTCCCGCAGCAACCCCCAACCCGCCGGTGAGAGTGGGCACCCTGCTGTCGCTCACGGGGTGGGGAAGGCTGAACGGCGACCTATCAGACGAAACCGCCACGGCAGAGAGGCTGCAAGAGGTGAGCGGTCACCCCAGCGCAGCGGGCAGGCGCAGCCAGCGGTGTGCCCCAGCGGCGCGGGGGGCCGGCTCCCCCTATGTTGGCGGCAGATGGGCTGCCCGCTTGCCTGCCCGGCCGCCGGGGTGCCCCCTGGTTGCCATGCCCGGTGGCGGGCGCTGAGCGGCAGGCCGGCTGTCCTCCTGGCTGCAGACCAGCCAGCTGGACCTTATTGATGATGACGACTGCTTCTCCGCCTACAAAACCAACCTGCTTGGGACAACCTCCAAGTTCAGCAACGACAGCATGCTGTGTGCAGGTGGGAGGGCCTGTAGGGGCAGTGGCCCTGCCACCACCAAGAGAAAGAAAAGACCTCTGTAGGCTGCCTTGGTCCTTCTCTGCGCGTGCCTGAGGCAGCAGCAGCGGCAACCCAGCGTCCCCACCTGCCTGTCTGCACCGCGATACTTGCAGGGACCCTCAACCGCAATACTCCATTTAGCAAGAAGAGAATCAACGTCGATGCCTGCCCGGGCGACTCTGGTGAGCAACTGCCTGCTGGCTGGCCGGCAGGCTCCTTCCCACCCAGATTGAGACAAAGCAGCTTCACGCTCAGCGAGGGCCTGCCCTGCCCGTCGAGCTATCAGCCTCCCTGGCCTGCTGTTGCCCCACCTGCTGCAGGCGGGCCATTGTTCAGGAAGGATCTGGGCAATGACGGCCTCGGAGACCCATCCAAAGACCTCCAGGCAAGCGCTTAGCACAGGGTAGCCCCAGCCAAATGTTGCATTGCTCGCTGCGCTGTGCACGCTGCCCTCCCTACTGCTGGCGACAGAACCTATGTGCTACAAGTGTCTTGCAGGTCGGTGTCGTGTCCTTTGGACAAGAGTACAACGGGCTGAGCTGCAATAATGGGAAGTACCCAGGTAAGCTCGACAGTACTGCTGGCAAAGAGCTGCGGGGCACATTAGCTGCCCCACCAGTAGCTTTTGCCCCGCCGGTTGCCACGTGCCGCCAGCCAGCCGCCAGGCTGGTGGTCTGTGGAGTTGATCATGCAGCTGATGTGGTGTGCAGGAGTGTACACATCAACGGCAGCCATGGCTGAGTGGATCAAGACTAACACCGCAGTACGGTTTCCTGGCCGGTCGTCGCGCTGTGTGCTTGGTCTGCTCACGGTGCTTCTGCTTCTGCTGCAGCTGCTGAGCTGGGCCTCAGCCGGAGCTGTCTGCCGCTCCCTGCCCCCTGCAGAAGCTCAAGACCCAGCTGCTGCCGGATGTGGCCTTGGCTCAGACCCGCGTCATCATGAGCATCGATGTGGATGCAGTGGCCGAGTGCTTTGGCTACCCAGGTGACCCTCCTTCCTCTGGGCGTGATGGCACCTGCCAGCGCAGCAGTGTGCCTAGGCATGGCAGGCTGCAGGGAGCTGGCTGGCAGGCCCAGCCTCGCTGGCTGTGCATTCTGCCGTGTGCTGCTTCCAGCATCCTGCACCATCAGCCGTGTGCTGCGTCCACCACCCTGCAGGCTACGTGGAAATCGACCCCCCAACACTGAGGAAGTCGCAATGCACCTCAGAGTAAGCAGCCGCTACCGGAAGCAGCGCAGCTGGCGGGGCCGGCAGCTGTGCCTGCCCCGTCAGCCATCCTGCTGCTCAGCAGAGTTTTTTCGCTCAATGGCGGCATGGCTGCGGGTCCTTGGCGCTGACGCCTGCGTACCGTGCTTGTGCTGTGCAGCCCGCCCACGTTGAGCACGCTGAAGCTGGACCTTACTGACGGCTATGTGGGTGCCAGCGCCATGCACTTCGACATCTTCAAAGACAAGGGCAACCCCGGGAAATACGTCATCAGGGTGGGCACACGGCCTGCCCGCACGCTGCCGCTGTCATGGCGTGGCATGGTTGCCGCAGCAGCGCCTCCCCACCGCCGCTATCCCAGCCCTCGTCCATCCCTGAGATACCCTGCCCTCGGTGCTGCGGGCCCTCGCCCAGCTGCCCTACCTTGAGCCCCTTGACCTGCTGCCGCTGCAGACGATTGCGCGGAACGAGGACTTTTGCCCCACTTACGTTGGCGTGTCGGCCAACTGCGATGCCGCTGCTGTGATCCTGACCGGCGTTGAGGACCGCAAGACGTACTGGACCATGACAGCTGGCAGGGGCTTCTATACCTTCAGCACAGAGGTAGGCAGCCACGCTGGTGGGCACCCGTTCGAGGCGCCTGCTTGGCTGCAGGCGTGCCAGGCAGGGCTGTGCAGCGTCAGCCCGCCAGCGCCACACATGCAAGGCACCACACCACACCACACCGCAGTGCTGCTCTGCGCACCACCACCAAGCCGTCGAGGCGCGGCGCTTCTTGCCCTCCTCCCTGCCACGCTTGCAGATCAAGAATGGCAACACGGTGCTGTGCAAAAAGTTTCTGGCCATCCGCAAGCCCACCGCCTGCCCCGCTGCCGGCGCGGTCACCCTGACCGCGCCGCGCCTGCCCGGCGCGGCAGCCAACCCGGACGACGCGTTCCTGGCCACCTACAACATCAACTTCAGGCTGGCGCGGCCGGTCCCCAGCGATGCCTCCTTCGGGCGCAGCCCCAGCGCCCCAGAGATCGTGCGCGTGGCCTCGGCCCCCGACGGAAAGTTCACCGTGACGCTCGCAGTCCCCGACTTCCCGGGCGGCGCCGGTGGGTAGCGGGGGCAGGGCGCCACCTCGACCCTGCATCCCGGCACGCACCGGCATGTTGGCCGCCCATGCGCTTCCACTGCACATGCGGTTCAGGCAGCAGCGCAGAGGTGGTGGCCGCGCCGGCTGTGTTGAGCTGAGCTGCACTACGCCCACCTGCAGCTGAGGACGCTCGCCCTGCCCGCCTGCTTGCAGATGTGTCTACTTATGACATCGTGGGCAGGCCCAAGAGCGGGGCGGCCAACCCCAAGGTGCTCCTCGTCAACACAGCCGGCCAAGTGGACCCCAACAATGCGCGGCAGGTGGGGCATGGGCGGGCGGGCGGCCTGCGGCAGCCAGGGAGCTCTGGAGGCACGGTGTGGTGGCGGGGCTGGACTCCCACCTGGAGCCCACCACCACCACAACGCACACACACACATACCACATCACTCACGCGTGCACACACAACCTGGCATGCAGAGGATCTTCACGACGGCTGCCGGCGGGCGGTGGCAGGCAGCGCACGACTTTGTCGCCTACGCCAGCAACAGGGTGCGCCCCGTGGGGCGGGGCCTGGCGGGTCCAAACCTGCTTCTCTCAAGCTCTGGGCCCTCCCATCCCGTAGCTTTGCAGTGCCAGCGTGCCTCCTTCCAATTGCCTGCGCCTCACTTTCTCAACTTTGCCTGGTGCTGCAGTTTGGGCGCAGCATTGCGAGCAGGATAGAGGTTTACTACCCCCCACCGTGAGCGCCGCTGCACCGGCTTGAGCCGTGCAAGCGATCCTGTTTTGGTGCATGCATTTTGGGCTGCAGGACCGGCTTCCCCTTCCAGCAGCCCTTGTGCCCACCCGCGCTGCCAGCTGACTAGGGTGCCTTCCCTGCATGCTGTGGGCGCAGGTCGCCCGGCCCTCCAACCATCGGCAGTGTGGGAGTGGTCAACGGCGCAATTGAGGTGGAGGTCAATCCCGACTGGGATCCTGACGGATATGCAGGTGGGCAGCAGCAGCGGCCGCAGCCAGCAGCAGCAGCAGCAGCAGCAGCAGCAGCGGCAGCGACAGCAGTAGCCACCCGCTCTTTGATTCTTTCGGGGCCTGCCTGCAGCTGCAGACCCTGCTCTGCAGCTGGTGCTGGCGCGCGCCTTGTTCTGTTCAATGTGTGGGCACCGACGGACGCTGCCTTGCCTTGCCGGCGCTTGCAGGCTACACTTTTGAGGTGGCTGGCACTGCCCTGGAAGGCGGCGCCAACATTGCCGTCGCTCGGACAGCGGGCCAGGCGCTGCCCAATGATGCGGTGAACACCAGGCGCTGGCGCTCGCACCTTGGCATCTGCCACGGGGCACGCCTGCTGAGTGGCTCACGCTTGCATGCATCAGAGCTACGCGCTAGATTGGGAGTGCTTGGCTTGCCCAGCCAAGGCACTGCCAAGCACTCATGCCCGCCGGCCGGCCCCTGCGCTGCAGTTTGCGCTGCGGTTTGCTGCGGGGGCGCACCGGAGCGGCGAGGTCTACAGCATCAATGTCTTTGCCTACAATCAGCTTGGGCTCAAGAGCTTGGGCAGCCCGTCAGTCACCTTTTTAGAAAAGTGAGCGGCAGCTCAGCTGCCAGGATTGCTACCAGCACTGCAGCCATGCTCCTCAGCCCACACGCGCTGGATTCACTGAACCTCACCCGGCAAACCCTCACACCGCTGCCGCCCTTCCTTGCCGCCTTCTGCAGGCCCGACGCCCCTCGGATCAACAAGCTGTCGGTCAACGAGGCCGGGGCGGGCGTGCTTGAAGTGACCATCACGCCGCCTGCTAGCTCACGTGAGGCGCAGCGGCGCTGGCGCCTTGTATGTGGGCTTGCGCCCCGTGCATTTCTCACTACCCTCGTTCTGGCTGGCGCTCTTGCCACCCCCTGCTGTCCTGTGCAGTTGTCTTCGAGTATAGAGCAACCGGGGTACCGGCGACAGGGCCAGGCAACATTGTTGCGGGACCAGACGAGGGTGATCCAGACGAAACCAGCTTTGACCTGCCCCAGCCGGTGCGGCTGCTGCTGCGCACTGCGCTTGCGCTTGCACGCGTTCGGGGCGCGCGGCTGCCGCCAAGAGGCCCAGGTTGCTGCTGTGTGGCTGGTCATTAAACCTCCCTCAGGTGCTGCCTCTCCTACAGGTCACCCTCCGCTTTGCTGCAGCTGCACAGCAGCAGGGGATTGAATACACAATCACGGTTGTCGCCATTTACGTGAGGCACCCAGCCGCATGCTGGGGTGCCTGCCATGGTGCCTGCCGCCATGCCTGCTGCGTGACATGGCCTGCCTGCCCACCGATTGCCTCGCTTTTCATCTCTGTCCCTGCTGGTGTTGCTTGTGCATGCAGAGAGGCGAAACAAGCGCAGTTAGCAATGCTGTTTGGATTACTGACACCGGGTGAGGGCAGCGCCATGTGTTGCACCTCGGTTTGGGGTTTGTCACCAAGTGGGGATGCTGCAGGCTTCAGACCGCCTCATACATGTATTTGCATGCGCTGCAGTCTCCCAACCTGCATCATTGCGCGTGCGGGGCCCATCACGCTCGCTCGCAAGCGCATCTCTCGGGCCAGCGGCGGCAGTGTGGCAGCCGCCGGGCGGTCCGCAGGCGGGACTGTGACAGCGGCGCGCACCGTGGCGACCGCCGCAGATGCGGCCCTCTGCGTGCTCCAGCAGATGAAGCCCCCGCCCTCCCCACCATTCAGGTGCGGCAGCTGTGCGGCAGCTGGCGCTGCGCCAGGCCCGCTCTCCTGCTGCCGACCATCTGCGCCACTTGCCTGCTGCCGTGCGTGCATCTCTGCTTGTTCCACGCCTGCCGATTCACACAGCCCTTCCCTAAGGCCGGTACTGCTACTGCCGTCGCTGCTGCTGTAATGCAGGCCGCCGCCTCCTTCCCCAAAGTGCGTTCTACAGGCTCGCTGCAGCTTGCAGAACAGCGGTCCTCTTCTTGTGTAGCCTGGCTGCCATCTGCTGGGTTCTTGGGGTTTCTGCTGGCAGGTTCAGGGTGCATGTCGATGTGTCGACGCTCTCACACGCCGTCTGCTTCCCGTGCATTCGCAGACCTCCGCTGCCACGTCCGCCATTGCCGCCCTCGCCACGACCTCCAACACCAAACCCTCCCCGTCCCCCCCCACCTTCTCCCCGTCCCCCACCACCCTCCCCTGCCCCACCCTCCCCCAGCCCACCGCCGCTGCCGCCTCCATCCCCAAGGCCACCACCACCTAGTCCTGCCCCGCCGCCGCCTTCTCCACCCCCGCCCAGCCCTGCCCCGCCGCCACCGTCCCCATCAC